AATCACAAAGTCAACCACCAATCCAACAATTATATATTGCTATATATACAATTTCCATATATATATATATACATGTATATATATTGCCCTATTTGTTTTTACGTGTATTTGTTTTCTTTGGCAGCTGGCAAAATTTTGAGCACCTCTTCACCTAAGAATTGGCTAAAAAAAATATATATATATCAAGAAATATTTGCACAACACAAAAAAAATATTAAACAAAAAATCAAATTTTCTTTAATTGCGACTGTCTTAACCAATTGGCCTGGCTACTTCGTATTTCTTTATGTTTGCTAACATCCCATTTTATATAATACACTATATAATAGACATAAAGACTCGATACACACCCAAATGGAGCCCTAAAAATCCAATATTTTGAACAGATCGGCAGGTTCCAAGGCACAATTGATTCCATGATATACTGGTCCGATGTTGATGAATATTTCTTTGAAATTAAGATTGATTTTGGTTGAGATATATTAAGAAATTAAAACCAATTCTTCGATTGATTTTGGTTGAGAAATCTTAAGAAATGAATTCGTTTTAAGTTAAAACCAATTCTTCGATTGATTTTAGTTGAAAAATCTTAAAAAATGAATTCGTTTTAAGTAAAAACCCAGTTCTTCGATTGATTTTAGTTGAGATATCTTAAAAAATGAATTCGTTTTAAGTTAAAACCAATTCTTCGATTGATTTTGGTTGAGATATCTTAAAAAATGAATTCGTTTTAAGTTAAACCCAATTCTTCGACCGATTCTTTGGCCATGTGTAAAGCGCAAGGTGCACAACTTGGTCGAGATACAAAAATATCTTGAGAAACAAACTAGTTTTTCATACAAGACATGACAGCTAAACCGTATTCGACTAGTGCTCCGTCAGATGTGCAGAAATGATGCAAAACCTCAGCCAAATTTGGATTGGGATCTGCGAGAATAGTTGGACCAACAAAGAGAACGTCGAAACGGCTAGATCGAGTCGGCTTTAAGTATATTTGTATATATGTTATGGGGCCGGAGATATCTTTGTCTAGAAATTCGAAAATATAATATTCTAGAACGAAAAAATAAAATTCGAATGAATACGAATGGCTATGAATAGTTGCTAATCATATTCGAATCATTCAAATGGGCTCCAACAACCGCAACACAAACAACATTCACATATTCTCACAAATATATATATTTTTCAGTAGGTGTTATTCAAAGCTAATCAAAAATTTGCGACCCAATTTACAGACAATGCCCTCGGCCATCAGTGGCGGCGCGCATGGGCAGGTGCATATACCCAGCAATGAGGAGTGCGGCATACGAGACGTATGGAAACATAATCTTGAGGAGGAATTTCGCACCATACGAAAGATTGTCCAAAAATATCATTTTGTTGCAATGGATACGGAATTTCCAGGCGTTGTGGCGCGACCCGTTGGCGAATTTCGTTCAACGGCCGATTATCATTATCAATTGCTGCGCTGCAATGTGGATTTGCTGAGGATCATACAGCTGGGATTGACATTCATGGATGACGATGGCAAAACGCCCCCGGGCTACTCTACATGGCAATTCAATTTCAAGTTTAATCTCAGGTGAGCTGTCTCTCTCTCTCTGTGTGTGTGTGTGTGTGTGTGTGTGTATAGCCTAAGCAATAGAATATAATAATTGGTACAATTTGGTAATTTTCTGATTTTGTGGCATTGCAGCGAGGATATGTATGCGCAGGATTCGATCGATTTACTGCAAAACTCGGGCATACAGTTCAAGAAGCATGAAGAGGACGGCATTGATCCCATTGATTTTGCCGAGCTTCTAATGAGCTCCGGCATTGTGCTAATGGATAATATCAAATGGCTGTGCTTTCATTCCGGTTACGATTTTGGCTATCTGCTTAAGCTGCTAACTGATCAGAATCTGCCCGCGGATGAGAGTGACTTTTTTGAGCTGTTGCACATCTATTTTCCGAACATCTTTGATATCAAATATCTGATGAAGTCGTGCAAGAATCTAAAGGGCGGCCTGCAGGAAGTCGCCGATCAGCTGGAGCTGCGACGCGTCGGGCCACAGCATCAGGCCGGCTCGGATGCGCTGCTAACGGGCATGGCCTTCTTCAAAATGCGTGAGGTACAACACACATTTGGTATACACTTTGACATTGAAGAGCCTTGCGCATTCTTTCCCCATGTGCTTGAGCACGCCATGCACCTTAAGTCGGTTGTCACGGTCAGCTTGCGTAGCAACAATGTTACCATCACCAGTGGCAGCTACGACGACAGCGACAATAGCAGCTGCAGCAATCCCAGCACAGCAGCAACAACAACAACAACAACTAACGGCGATAGCAACGATCTGACCATGAGTCAACTATTATCCTCTCGCGCTCAGTCTCTGCGCTTTTCCATAACGGTCTATACGCGCACCGTAACGCCACCGCCACCGGCGCCATCCACGACTGCAGCACAAAGCATTCTGGGTCCGGGCAACAGCAGCATCAACAACGAGCATCATTGATGCGCGCATCCTGTTGCTGCTGTTGCAATCCTGTGTGCTGTTGTTGTTGCTGCTGCTGCTGCTGCTGTTGCTGCTGCTGCTGCTGTGCTGTACGATTGCAACTAACCCGCTTTGCCCCATTACATTACTTATTCATTTATCAGTTTTTAAGGTTAAATGTTTTCTCATTTCATCTCATTTCATTCTCATTATGTACATAGTTTCCTTATTTTTTTTATGTACTTATAATACTCCTAATTAGCTTTTAGACGCCGCTGGACACATACGAAATGCATTTTATTTGTTATGCTGCATGCAACGCATTTTCATCGGCTAATCCTAACCCAACAACACATTTTGTAAAATCCAAAACTTAAATTGGATGATGGAAAACTAAAAACTAAATACTAAAAAAAAAAAACCGTACTGAAACGTTTACTAATTAGCAACAGTTGTTTAAATCATGTGAAACATGTCTTTAATTTGTTAAATTTGAAACAAAAAACAAAAACCAAAAAAAAAATATCCAAAAAAAAAAAAACACTGCAACAACTCTGAAGTTTGCTGGAATTTGAATAGAAAATTAAATGAATTGAAATTCAATTTTCTTTCTCATTATTGTTGATTTGTCATTTCTGGTTTCTGGGCTTATCACACACACACACACAAACACACACTTTTCTGATCTAATTGTTATATAATTTTTTTTAATCACAAGCTGCTTTCACTCGCTTACAAATATTCACTCATTTGCTTTAATATTTGCTTGCCTCAGACTTAACAAAATATATATATATATAATTTTTTTTTGATAAAATGATTATTAATGAACATTTACTTATAGTTGTTAGTTCATAGAAAGTCTTATGTATAGCTAATTTTTTTTTTTAACTTAACTAGTCGCAAACTATTTTGTTGGACAAACTCCATGCGAATGTTGCTATTTGATATGGTCCCATTATATTTTCTAACTATGTAAGATTTGCACGTAAAGTGTTTTTAGTTTTAAGCTGGTAATTTTTTTTTTTTTTGTTTCTAATACCCAAGCGTATTTTTTGTTTCTATAATTTTAAGCGATATGGAAAAATGCTTCCGTGCAGATTCCACTGCATTATGAATGTTGAGTATAGCAAGTGTTTAACCCGTTAACTAATTATGTAAAAAAAAAAACCAAAAAAAAAAAATACCCCCGAAGCAAAATTACAAAATTAATATCGAATCGAAAAAAAGACAACACAAATTGGTAAATGGTATGTAACTTGAAATTTATTAACACATATTTTAAAGTATCCTTGAACTGAACTCAATTTTAAAATAGTTCACATACTTCACATTCCATACATTTTGTCCATGTCCATGTCGCTTGCCACACGCTTTACTAACTAACTAACTAACGCCTAACACTTAAACTAATCCCGTAAACTCGGCTGCTGCTTTGCCAAATGTGACTCAGTTAAATTCGTATTGCCTTAATGAAATGTGACGTTTTGCCCAATTGCAGATGTTCTTTGAAGATAATATCGATCATGCCAAATATTCGGGACACTTATACGGTCTGGGCACCTCGTTCATTGTGAATGGCACCAATTTCCACGAGAGCAACGGCGAATCGAACAGCGCCTCATGATTTATCCTGATGAAGAACGCCGTCGTGCATGACAAGAAACTCGAACAAGTTGCTGGAGCTGCTGCATCATCATCATCATCATTCACATTCACATTATCATTATCATCATCATCAACATTGGCTGCTGCTGTCTCTCTCCCAGCCCCGTTATGAGTGGGAGAGGCAACATTCACAACATTCAACAATCGCATCGTTAGAAAAAAAAAAAAAAATAATAATAATAATCCAACTATCCACAATTAAGCTATTGCAATACAAAACAATTTACTTACACGAGATTTTCTATGCTTTTAAAAGAAAGTTTCCACACTCTGTAGATGTTTTACAACAAATTTAAAAACATTAAAAAAAAAAAGAACTTAAACTTAAAAAAAAAAAACAGTTAAATTTAAGCGAAACAGAAAAATTACCTTTGTTAAGGAATCACTATCAAGATCTGTATGTCTTAAATGTGTTAAGAAACAAATTATGAAATATAAGCTAATATGTATAGGCCAACGTGTATTTGTATAAAAAAAAAAAAACAAAACAACAAATCAATATATTTAAACATTTTAAATTAGAGATTTATGGAGTATTATTTGATTAAAACTCGTTTTGTGGCGAATATTTTCCACATGTATTGCTTTGAGTCCTCCTGCAAGACTTGGTAAAACTTACACTTACCACTTTGATCTTTGTCCTGGATCCTTTCTGTAGTCCCTGCGGCCTGTTCCGCTCTCACCTGGCTCCAAAAGGCAAATGAAAAACGTATGCTTATACGCGCTCCTTTTATAGAAAAAATCGTTAACAGTCCATTCTGTTAACTCCTATGTTATCGAGCACAGCTGGTGTAACTGGTGTCATACTATCGATTTCTTTCCTTTGTGTATCGATGTTAAGCATCGCTACAATCGATGTGGCTCACATCGCTAGCGTTGGTTTTTGTTGCATACAAAAGACGGATGGGTCCCGTAAAGTATACAAGAATACGAAAAATTAAGCCATTAATTCGATGAATTTTAACAATTCAAGCGGTTATTCTGTTATACGTTGTGATAGTTTCAAATTTTCACCGATCACGAACGATGGGAGCCCAGTGAAACTTAAGCTGGATGCATTTCCATTTCCATGTCCGCGGCAGCCGCAGCAACAACAAAAGCGAAACGAAAGAAAAGTGAAATTTGAGCAAAAGGAATAGCGCATGCTAGTCAAACAACAAAGAAATGGAAAATTTGAAAATCAGTGAAAAGTTATTCGAGGATGTGATATATTATGTGCTCGGCAGCTTGGATGATGAGGTAAACATTGAGATTCCGTGACGGGCTCGACCTAGGGCTGTACGTGCCCGCTGCTGTATTATTGGCATTGTGTGAAGTGCATGTGTGCGCGCGTGTGATGTCCATATGTGTGTGTGTGTGTGTGTGTGTGTGTTGGTGTGTTTGCTGGTGCTGTTGCAGCTGTACAGGCCATAGGGTGAAATTAACTAAATGCAACTAACAAATATGCATTTAACGCATTCGTTTAGCAACAAACAGTGTGCATTAACTCTAAATTAATTTATCAATTACATGTGTGCAAATTTGCCAGTGCTGGCAACACAGGGCGTTTCAGGTTTAACATGTACAAATTCGCGCCATAAAATGTTGCCGGCAAATTTCTAGGTGTTTGCACGTGTGTGTGTGTGTGCGTGTGTGTCTGTGTGTTTACATAGAGATGAGCCATATGATAGTACCTGTGACTAGCAGAACGAATTTTATGATTAGAAATGCTTGATTTTGAATTGATTTCAATTTATGTAAATATTTAAAGCATTTAATTGAGCTGCCAATTATTGCTAGATTAACAATTTATTTTAAATTATGAAATTGGCAAAATAAATGTAGACGAAGTAACAGTTCAAGTTGTCATTGGTACAGCACTGTTAAATATTGCTCATCTCTAGCGCAGGCATATGCGAGTGTGTGCAAATCATATGGAGAAAGCTCAACTGATTATTTGTTTTTTCCTATGACCCTTACAGAGCGAGAGATTGCTTAAGAATGGCGGCGCGCAGTCGAAGCTTTACCTTTCGGACCAAATCACGCATTTAATATGTGCCAGCAACTACTCCGAAGAGGAGCTCTCCATGAATCTGGACCTCTACAATGTGATACCTGTGAGCGAGCAATGGATCTCGCACAGCGCCAAACTGGGTCGCATGGCCTCCACGCGTGCCTTCGACCCAAGCCAGCCGCGTTTCTTGCGCGGCATACGTGTCGCCATCACCAATGTGGTGGCCAGCGATCGCCGGCGCCTCTATGCGATGCTCACCTTCCATGGTGCCGTCGTTACACACACGCATGGAGCCACCAATACGCATCTGGTATGCGGCGCTGCCACCGGCAACATTTACAATAAAGCGCTGGCGCTGCCCAAAAATGCCATGAACATTGTCACGCCCGACTGGGTCACTGATTGCCTCAAATTCAAGAGCTGTCTACCCTGTGAGCCCTATCATCCCAGATTACTAAAGCCCATCGAGAAGCAGCGCACCCAAAAGCAGCAACAGCAGCAGCAACAACAACAACAACAACAGCAGCAGCAGCAACAACAAAATCTGCAGCAGCAACAGCAGCAACATCAACAACAGCAGCAGCAATTGCAACAGCAATTGGCACAACAGCATCAACAACAACAACAACAACAGCAGCAGCAGCAACAACATTTAGTACAACAATTGCCACAACAGCAACAACAACAACCAGCTGCTACACAGCTGTCTGACATACTAGGCTTTGGGGACGATAGCGCTGCCCAGAGTATCGCTAGCATTAAATCCCAACTGCAGGCATCGGCAGAGCGTGCTGCAGCTGAGCAGCAGCAGCTGCAGCAGCAACAGCTGCCACAGCCCGCGCAACAGCAAGTCGTCTTTGTGCGTCCACGCAACATGCAGCAGCAACAACAATTGCAGCAGCAGGGTGCACCACAGGCGCCACCACCACCGCCGCCACCCACGCCGCAGCAGCAACAGCAACAAATCATAATACAGCAGCAAAAAATCATACCAGCTAATCTGCAGCAGCAGCAGCAACAACAACAGATCAAAAACATTTTGCAGCAGCAGCGACAAATAAAGAACACACAACAGCAACAACAGCAGCAACTGCAACTTTTGCAGCAACAGGAGCAACAGCAGCAGCAACAACAACAACAGCAACAACAACAACAGCAGCAACAACAACAACAGCAATTATTACTCCAGCAGCAGCAGCAGCAGCAACAACAACAGCAACAACAATCGCGTCTGCCTACAACACCCACCATGCCACAACCACCCATGCCCAGTGGACGACAAACGCCGCGCACGCCTCAGCCGGCAACAACACCACAGCCCGTGCAATCACCGCAGCAGCAAGTGGGACAACAGCAACAAGTGCCGCAACAACAACAACCGTCCGTGTCAGTCTCGCCACAAATGCTGCATCAGCACATAATGAACAAGCAGCAAATGTTGCAGCAGCAGCAAATGCAACTGCATCAGCACATACAAAATGGCCAGAGCCTGACACCACAACAACAGGCGTTGCAGCGCCAGATACAGCAACAGCAGCAACTGTTGCAGCAGCAAATGCAGATGCAGCAAATGCAACAACAACAGCAACAACCGCAGCAGCAATCACCACGCATGGTGCAAAATCGTTCGCCAGTCATGCCACCCGGTACGCCTTCACCCTCGCTGCAGCAGCAGCAACACTTGGTTGCGAGCAGTAGCAACATGTTGCCGCCTCAGTCACCACGACAACTGCAATCGCCAGCGCCACAAATGACCCCGCCTCCGCCGCCTTCGCCACAGAGCGCACAGCAGCACTTGCGTCAACAGCAGCAACAATTGCAACAGAGTCGCCAGCAGCAACAGCAGCAGCACATGATGGGCTCCCCGCAACAACAGCCGCCCACGGCCATGATGTCGCCACAACAGCAACCATTCCAACAACCAGTGCATCAGCAACAACGCATGCAGCTGCAGCAGCAACAACAACAGCTCGCACAACAGCAGCAGCAGCAAAGTCCTCAGCACATTTCAGCGCCGCAATCACCTCAGATTTCACAAACGCCACCCATGGCTAGCAAACAACAGCAGCAGCAACCAGCTCAGCATCCGCAGCAGCAGCAGCAACAGCAATCCTTTGTGCAGCCCATCGATCCCACGGATCCCGTGCAAGTTGCTCAAGTGCTCAGTCGTTCTACACTGAGCAGCAATCAGGATTCACTGATTATGCGCCAGCAGCAGTTAAAGCAACAACAGCTGCAGCAACAGCAGCAACAACAACAACAACAACAGCAGCAACAACAACAACAGCAGCAACAACAACAGCAGCAGCAGCAACAACAAATACCACAACAACATACGCCCTCGCCAAGACAGTCACCTTTGCATCAACAGCAAACAACACCACAACAACCAGAGAGGGTATGTACTAAAATCTATGCAAAATATACAAATCTTAAGCAGCACGAATGCGAAATACCCTGTACTCTGTTGCAACGCTTACAAAGCTGTGTAGCAAACTCGTATTCGGGGTAAAGAGTGTTTAATACAATTAGAAAGTAAGGAAATTTGTTGCATTACCAAATGTTAGTTTTTCAAACCTTGCGAAATATTCATATGTCTGCCTGATGTCTGTTATGTTAAACAAAATGCTAATCTATCTCTTTTTTCTGCCTTAGCCCTTACAGCAGCTGCAGCCACAACAGCAGCAACAGCCGCCACAAATGGCACAGCAACTTGGACCTGGACAGCAGCAGCAACAGGTCATAACCCAGCGACACGTGATCAACACTTCAACGGCCCAGGGACAGCAACTAATACAGAGTCATATGATGAGCATACAGCAGCAACAGCAAAAGCAGCAGCAAATGTTGCAGCTGCAACAGCAACAGCAAATGATACCTCAGCAGCAGCAGCCACAACAGCAGCAACTGCCACAGCAACAGCAACAACAGCTACCACCTCAACAACAACAGCAGCAGCAGCAGCAACAACAACAACAACAACAGCAACAAGTACAGTTCACGCAGCAACAAAACATTGCATTGGGCACAGGCGGTCAGGTTCGCATCATACAGCAGACCATACAACCACCGCAACAACAGCAACAGCTGCTGGGACAACAGTTTGCGCCGCAGCAACAACAAGCACCACAACAACAACAACAACAACAGCAGCAGCAACAACAAGTATTGCCACAGCAGCCGCAGCAACATGTATGTATATTAATTCATAAATATAAATACAAATATTTCATAAATTTACCCTCTATTTACTTTTAGCCAATGCAACAACAACAACAACAACCACCACCACCAGCCATGCAGACCAAAAAATTCTACATCAGTCAGCAGCAATTCAGTCAGCTCAGCGCGCAGCAGCAGCAGCAAATATTAGCGCAGAATCAGCAAAACCAAAATGTGTTCATTGTGAATTCCACAAATCTGTCACAGCAACAACAGCAGCAGCAGCAACAACTTGTGCAGCAGCGACAACTATTGCAACAGCAGCAGCAACAGTTGCCACCGAATCAGATGATGTTGCCGCAGCAGCAATCGCCGCAGCAGCAGCAGGCACCGTCACAAATGCAACAGCAGCTAATAACACAGCAGCAACAACAGCAACGACTGCAAATGCAACAACAACAACCACAACAACAGCAACAACAAATTGTGATAAATCAGCAAGTCATCAGCGATCCGCAGCGTTTGCAATACTTGCAGCAGCAACAGCAATTACTGCAGCAAAAACAGCAACAACAACAGCAGCAGCAACAACAACAACAGCAACAACAACAAATCATTGGGCCGCCACAACAGCAGCAGCAGCAAATTCTTATACAACAGCAACAGCCAGTGGCACAACAGCAACAACAACCGCCGCCACAGCAAATCATGCAACAGGTGCTCATAAAGCAACAACATTTGCCACAACGCACGCCACCGCCGCAATCGCCACAGCAGCAACAGCAACAGTTGATGCTGCAGCAGCAATCGCCACAGCATCACGCACAGATGCAGCAGCAGCAGGCGCACTGGTCCCCGCAGAGTCCTGTGACAAATCAGTTGCCACCCACAACGCCTGGCACTCCCACCACAAGCATGGGCATGCAATCACCGTTGCCTGGCACGCCCACAACTCCGCAACAGCAACAGCAGGCGCCACAGCAATTTGCGCCGCGCGGACTGCGTCCGCAAACACCTTGGCCCGCACAACAGCAGCCACCACCGTCACAGCAACAACAACAACAACCGCAGCAGCAGCAGCAACAACAACAACAGCTTGTGCTGCCGCCTCCGCAGCAGCAGCGCCAACTAATACATCTGGATGAGAAGACGCATGCGCATTTCATGTCGCTAGATGCACACAAACGTGCCGAATACATTACGAAACTGAATCAGAACAAGCCACGCGTCATGCTGCGCCAGCAGGTGGCCTATCAGCCACGCCCCGGTGCGCCCGGTAGCGTGGTGGCCACACGTGCACCGGGCCCAGTGCCAGTGCCTGGACCAGGCACTTCGCACATTATTGTGCAAAGCCAAATGCCGGGCGGACTTACGCAGCAAGAGCAAATGCTCTGGCTGCAGCAGCAGGGCACACGTCAAGTAGTAGTGCGTGCGGGCGGTGCGCCTGGACTCAGTCCCATAACGCAGCAACAACAACAACAACAGCCTGGCGGAGCACCTCAACAGCTACCTCAGCAGCAACAGCAGCAGCAACAACAATTTAATCCGAATGATCCCAGTCAGCAAATGTTACTGCAACGGCAACAGCTGCGCGTGCAACAAATACCCATGCAACAGGCGCCGGCGCCGCAGCTGGGCAAGCAGACCGTGCAGCTCATTACCGGTCCCAATGGCCAGCTAATCGAACAGCAAACCATTGTTCAGCAGCAGGCGCAGCAACAGCAGCAGCAGCCGACAACACCAGGCACACCCACCACACCTGGAACTGGCGTAGTTGTTGGTGGCGCCGCAGGTGGCAATATTATGACGCAAACTCTGGTCATGCCCGCAGCAGGTAAGTCAGCTGTCAGCATATTTCTTGTCGGAATTAGTTTAGCCATGCAGCTTCTCCTTTTTCTGCAGCGCCCGATGGTCAACAGCAGCAACAGACGCCGCAGCAGATGAATTTGAAAACGAAAACCGCTTTGGCCAACATGCTGAGCAATCGCCTGGGCAACAATGGAGCGCAGGTGCCGCCGCAACAGCAGCAACTACTTTCCATGAGCGATGTCCAGCAGCAACAGCAGCAGCAGCAACAACAGCAGCAAATTGTGCAACAGGTTGTAGTTAGCGGTGCCACACACCAGCAGCAGCAACAGTTGCTGCTGCAACAACAGCAGCAGCAGCAGCAACAACAACAGTTGGTTGCAGCGCAGCAACAGCAATTGGCAACGGGACAACAGCAACATGTGGAGACACCATCTGCTGCTGGCGCACTGCGCATGATGGGTCAGCAGCATAATGCTGCTGTGGGCGTGCCTGGTCCGCCACGGACACAGCAGGAGCTAGTTCTGTTGCAACAGCAGCAACAACAACAACAGCAGCAGCAGCAGCAATTGCTACAGCAGCATCCCCAGCAAATGCGACGTGTCGTCGGCGTGCCGCAGCAACAGTTACCACAACAGCATTTGGTGCAACAACAAATTGTGGTCGCACCGCAGGCGAACATACAGCAACAACAGCTGCCAGTGGGCGTTCCAGTGCAAGTAGCAGGCGGCCCGCCTCATGTCTACATGCAAGTGCGTCCCGGCCAGCCGCCCATACCGATGCCGCCGCGACCCCAGTTCTATGGCCACAATCCAAACTTGAAGCTGCCGGCTGATCTCTTCCTAGTCGGCTGCACCTTTTACATCGTTGAATACGACGAGACGGACAGCGATGAGCTGCCCATTTGGCTGGACACCATACGCCAATTTGGCGGCGATATCGAGCGTGTCTATTGCGCCCGTGTGACGCACGTCATCTGCCGCACCCAGCGGCACGGCATGGTGATGCAGGCACTGCGCGATGCCAAGCGCTGCGTGACCGCCTACTGGCTAAGCGACATCTGTTTGAAGCGACAGCTAATGCCACCGTGGCAGCCGCTGCATTTGCCCTTCCCCAGCCAGTTTGGTTATCGCAAGCCGCTGGAGCGCTACATTATCACATCGGAGGGCTTTGAGGGCGAGGAAGTTGTGCGGCTGCAGCAAATGGCCGAGGAATGTGGAGCCATTTACACCTCGTACCTGTCCAAGGTGAACACGCTAGTTGTCTGCAAACAACTGGAGGGCAATAAATCCAATGCGGCCAAAGAGTGGAACATACCAATGGTCAATGCCCTGTGGCTCAGCGATGTGTGCATCGGAAATCTGAGCGGGCTCACCCAGTACGAGAATCCCAAATATCAGCAGTACAATCTGGTGGCGCCATTCCGCATCGAATGCAATCTGGTGCAGCATTTGCTGGGTAAGCTATTCATTTATTATCCATGTCACCCAATTGATTTTTAAACCTTCTGTTTAGCCGCCTGGAAAGCGCCCATTAATCTCACCCAGGAGGCACACGAGCGTGTCAAGCGTCATCTTTCCGATCCGTATGCGAATGAGCAGAAGATTAAGCGGCAGAAACTGTGCGTCTATCAGGAGCAGCTGCCCGAGCAAATCGTTTGCATTGAATATCCGCAGACTACAAAACCGCCCAAGGTCATCTTCTCGCAGGTCGCCGATGCGGAGGCGCTCAAAAAGGCTGTCGAGTGAGTCGATGACAATTGATTTAAATGGCATAAATATAATTAACACATTTTAATTTCAATTTTCTACAGACTTCTTGGCGGCATTGTGGTAGACAGTCCCATAGATGCAACACATTTGGTCATGACGCGTGAGAGTCGCACCTGCAAACTGATTCAGGCCTGCTGCCATGTGGACTATGTGCTCAAGTCCAGCTGGTTGGTGGACAGCGCCAAGGCCGGCAAGTTTGTGCCGCCGGATGAGTATCGCATCCGGCACATACCCGTCGATGAGAATCTGCAGTTCGATTTGGATGCTGTGCTGTGTGCGCCGACACGTTCTACACTATTTGCGGGCAGATACTTCTATGTAACGCCCGATGTATTTCCGGCACGCGATGAAATCATACGCATGATCGAATCTTCGGGCGGCAAAGTGGAGGCGAAACGACGCAGCGGTGCCGCCGTTGCCGAGGCGCATGTCCAGGCGCCCGACTCTTATATCATTGTTACCTGCCCAACGGATATGCACTTGTGCGCGGATCTGACGCGACATGGCAATCCCAAGTGCCATATTGTCTCTACGGAGTTTGTGATGAGCTCCATATTGCGGCAACAGCTGGAAATTGAGCCTAATTTGATACCCTATTTGTACAACAATAACATTTCCAACAGCAGCAGCAGTAACAACAAATCCTAGCGACAAGCTGTTCTCTACTTCTTGTTGCTTAAAGCTTGAGGCACATTCAGGAAATTTTATAAACTTTGTTATGTATCTATGTACGTATGTATATTAAGAATCCCATCCCATTTTCATCGAGCCTGTGAGCTGTGAATGCAAATCTAGTCCACATTGAAACTGATGAAAATTGGGTAACTAATCGGTTATATATATATATATCACAATCCCATATAGAGCTAGCTGGCTGGTGTTATCAAAACGATTGATAAAGCCCTTACTACAGCTATTTTTACACGCATCAACAAATGATTTGCAGATAAACTGCAGATCGAGTCATTCAAGCGATCTATCACATCTATATATAGTAGATAGTTACAATTAATTATAAGCAAAAAGTACATTTTTATAAATATATATATATATATTTTTATAAACTCATTAACTAGATGTAAGTATATATATATATTTATAATTCAATAGAGTATACGAAACGTTTCACAGAAATTTTAATCGGCTGGCTATTAGAATTTTAAGCACATTTCTATTTGGATATAGTCCATTGTCCAAATCCCCCAAATATTAGTTAGGTATACTCAACAAATAAAGCTTATGTTATGTATGTGAATACCAGGTGGTTTTCATGGAATCCCTCCGGGCTAAAACGCTTTTTTAATTGTTCAGACTTGGCACATTTTTCACCCATTTTCATCGATTGAACAAGTGAAACGTATTAAATTTAACATGCGGACTTGAAGTCGAACGGTCGATTTTGCTTCTCTTCAAAAATAAATTTATGAGTTTACCACCCATTTTTCACCTATGTGAATTGTTAAAACTATTTATGTATTTGGATTCTTTCATTTAAATAGGTTTATTTTTAATTATTATCAAATTTCCATCCATGTCTGATTTGAGGAAACTGAATAGACATTCATGTCCTGATCTTTGATCGGTTGTTGAGTTCTCAAAGTTTCTCTAAATACAAGCTTATAGAATTTATCACCCACTTTCCAAATGTATGGATGGATTATGCGCGAAAGTGTGCGAATTACACTCAAATTGCATTTGGAATGCTCTTTATTATAAATCTATTTATTGTTGTACATGGATGCAATGGCCGGATCTTCTGTTTCGTATATGATCAGGACGTCGCGAAATTTGTCGAGCAGCTGCAGCAGCTGGGAACGACGCAAATTCTCAAAGTACATAATCTCCTCCAGATGATGCTCGCTCTTAAAGTAACCCATTTGATAGAGCTTGACCAGCAGCGATAGATCGTCGACGTTGAGGGAGGCTGGTATACGGCGAATGGCGGCGCGATCCGCATCGTTGAAGACCTGCAGCAGCTCCTTGAGCTTCTGCTCGTCCTCCATGGAGTCGAGGCTATCGCAATTGTCCGTGCTCAGTGACGCTGTCATGCTGAAGTTGGACTTGTGGCTCGACGATGGCTGCACAGCAATGTTGTCCGACGCCAGGGAATAGTGATCCTCGGGCACGCTGCGTCGATGTGCGTTCACGGGCATGGGCAGCGGTTGACTGGACATGCTTAGCATGGAGCCGCCATGCAACGGATCATCATCCCGCTCGCGATTCGGCTCGTCCTCGGTGTGATTGCTGTCCTGTTCCTCCTCGGTGACGTTGCTGCCAGCCTGGGCACAGGACGCCGAGTCACCGAATTCATCGTCGGCATCGCTGGGCATAAACTGAACATAGGTGTGCAGCTGCATTAGCAAATGATGCTGCAGCATCCAGAGCACCATCTGGGCGAGTATGCCCTGGCGCGCCGGCTGCTGCAACGGCGTCGTCAGATGTCCAATGGACGTCGGCAGCGAGAAGTCCGAAATGACCTCAAACAGAGACATGCCCGCGAAGCGTGTCGAGAACTTCTCCACCAGATGCGACCTGGTATGCAGCGGTGCATCCGGTGCTATCACATACACATTCGTCTCACAGAGCGGATAAATAATGGTCGCCTTGGCCCAGTAGACCAAATGCGAGACCAGCTTGTACACATGCTCAATGCTCAGATCCGCATTGGAGGCCATGCTCTGCAGGCTGATCAGCGGATTATAAGCGTCCACCAGCTGCCAGAGCATGCGCGCCCCAGTCGGCGGCACACAGTCCAGCAGCTCCGCAAAGTCCACCAGCAGCAGCATGCCATGATAGGGCTTCAGCGCGCGCAGACAACGATCTATGGTCTCCGGATCCACCATGCTGCCCTTCTTGTGCAGCTGATGCGCCTTGGCCGGCAGGCAGAAGGTCAACGTTAGATTCTGATTCAGTGTGGTGCTCAGCAGTCCCGTGGTGCACAGATCATTGCAAATGGATTTAAGTGCCTGCGCCAAGCTGCAGCGTTCCGCGATCAGCTCCAGCGTGCGCTCCAGCGGCTGCTGTTGCTGTTCGTCGTGTGTTCGGGCCATAAGGGCCGTCTGCTCGGTTAGGTAGCCGCTGCGCTGCTCCTCGAATTTGAGCGCCAGTCCCAGCCGCTTGCTCAGCTCATGGTAGCACTTGACAATCGAGTAGCTGGCCTGGGCGTGCAGGGCAAACACAATGTTGATCAGCATTTGTTGTTTCTTCGCCACAGCCGCAGTGGCGGCAACGCCGGCAGCCGAAGATAAATTGCTGCCCACGCTTGCCGGAGTACTGGCAACGGTCGTGGGCACCACACTGATCAGCGTGGGGTGGCTAACGAACCGAACATCGTTCAGTTTAAGCTCAAATTTTTGATTGCACAACTGCGGCTTGACGGCAAACAACGCGGAGAGCACATCGTCCGCAAAGCCCTGCAGCTGGCCGGGGCCCTGGCTCTGGGTCTGCGTTTGGTGTGTGGCCGTTTGCAGCAGATCATCTGTGTGGGCGAAGGCAAAGGGATTGCGCTTCTTGTTGACCAGCTCCTCGCGCGGCTCTTCTAGTTTGAGCGTTTGGCCGAGCGTCTGGTAGGGATAGCGATACAGCAGGCGATCACCCTTGCTGTCGAAGTAGACAAGTATGACGGCCAATGGGTTTACCTCCATGGCATCATTATTTATTTATTTTCTATTAGGCCAAAAGATTATCAGCTGATGGTCGAAATTGTCTAAATAACAGGGTGGCAGCGCCAAATATTTCGATTACAGTAAGAAATCGTTGCTTTCATGGTTATAATTTGAGCCTTTACAACACTAAGCTTCATTTATTACGTATATGGACTCGTTGCGCTGTTAACAAAATAGCAGTCTCATTTGAGTAATTCGGTGGGTTAACATTGTCATAAGTTAACATTCTTGCGCTTACACTAGATGAAGAAGAAGAGTCGGAGTAACGCGCAGTGTGAAACGCGTTTAAAGGTGTTAAAACAACAAATAAATTGTAAAAAAATTGTTTTGTGCACTGTTCTCAAGTGCAGCTTACGCAATATCCTAAAATGTAATGGTGAAACGTGTTAGTTATAGCTTAAAATGTAGTTTTAAAATTTATCTTATTAGCGTGTTGGTAAAAATGGAAAACACATAGGACGTGAAAGGTAAAATGCGTACGAAGCGTTAGTGTAAGCGAGATGCCATTAAAGTGTTGTAGCAGCGGTCTAAATACATACATACATTGTATATTTTTAAGCGTGTGTTTGTGTGTGACTACGAAACGAGGTACAAAATGTAAAGAAGAATTGTACAAATGTAGTTAATTTTTTTTTTTGTCACATAGTTGTACTTATTTGAACAATGTGATTAATTGTATTGGCGCATACATATGAATTATTTTATGTACATATGTTGTCTGCTATAAAACATTTATCTTATACGTACAAATTAAGTGCATTCGTTTGTTTTCCTGTTGGCGGGCATGGTTACCCTTTATAAACGTGTAGTTTTTCAATATTAAAATATAACAAATTTTGTGTATATGAGCGGCAACATCCGCGTATAGATTTTTATATATGTACGTAGGTACATATTTCGGTGGCGCCGTGTGTGTACATGCATGCATATATGTATGTATAGACGAACAGACAGAAAGACAAAACGAATGTACGTACAGCACTATAAAGTACACTGCGGAATGGCAGGCGCAGTAGTAATAGGCTAAAGAAAGACAAGGTAGAAGAAGCAGCAGCGCGAACAAAATAAAATAGCCGATAATAGGTAGGATTTGTGCTAGTTGGCATGCACGCTAAAACGGCCACACTATATGTTGCTTTCATAATACAAGTGCGCGCGCAGCATAGCACAGTATTGTCATCTCGCTCTGACACACGCTCAGTACGTGTTTTCGTGCGCATTTTCGTTGTTTCTTATGCCATACGTATTAATAATAAAATTGATTAATCAAAGTGGAAACGTTTATTTAAGCAGGCAGCAAACGTTTAAACAACGCCGCGTTTCACAACTACCAAACCTGCAAGCCAAATTACAGTGCGTTCGTTTCGAATTTGTGAAAATGTGAAAAAAAAACACCAAAACAAGCAAGTGCATGCAAAACGAAATTCAAGTGCCGAAAAAAGCAAATGCTACATATTAAACCGAATTCGGAGCATGCCATATAAATCTCGTGTTGTGTACAATTAAGTGAAACAAAATAATCAAACACGGTGAGTAAATTAAACTGGTAAACAAAGCAAAAGTAACGCGCGCGCAAACCATGCAGTATTGATACCAATCCTAGTATAATAATTTCTTGTCCACTTGACATTGCTAGCATTGGAGTTGTCTTAAAGCTGCAAATAATGTGAACTGTCATAAGTATTCATATTGTCAAATTATATGTTTACAATAACTGATATTGCCATTTTCGAGCTTTTTTTTTTGCACAGTGGGTCGCCATATTTAATTTCGTACTTTTCCCCCAAAGCAAGCATATATTGATCTCGCTCCTACTCACGTGCTTGGCGTATAGCTTGCGCGTTCATTTGTTTTGCTTGCTATTTTCTTTTGTGCAACGTGAAGTTAGTTGTGCATAATTGAGCTCCGTAGAGTTGCCAGCTATGCAAAGTTTACATTTAAAGAAACTAAATAATTGTTTTTAGTTAATTTGTGTGTGAAATATATAAAATCAAATACCCATACAATTCGTTATAATACGTCCACTTTGAATCTTTAAAATGCTAATGAAGTTGTGCATGTACTTTTTATTCTGATTTACCACCACTATATGTGTGTTTCTTGCGCGCTGCATTGTTTTGACATGCGCAGCAATAGAGAAACAACATTAAATTAATTGCCAATGTTTTAATATAGGAAACATTTGTTTTAAACATGCAGTTTTATGCATTAAAATAATTTGCGATGTTTCCGCCATGTTGAAATTGCGTTTCATTGAAATTTCATATGCTAGAACAGCACCGCCGTCGCTTTGATATTTTTTCTTTTCAATTTCCTTTGGTTTTCCATTTTTGCTGTACACTCCAAGCGTGTGTTATGTTTTCGTCAAATGATTTATTCCCAATTCTAGCGCTTACACGCTTGTACGCCATTAAGTTGGCCGCTGTTGTACACTTTACTGGTATGTGTTTCATCTATTTGCCTCTGTCTTGCGCATGGTCCATTCTACTCGTCGCCAATGCTACTCTTTACGCATACGTGATTTTTGCCTCGCCTGCCCTGTACGATTTTTCGCTACTTTCTGTGGTATGGGCAAAAATGAAAGCAAAAGTTGATGGACAAGTTTTTAATATGTATATAATGCTTTGGCGCATACGAAACTTATATGCACACACTCCTAAACATGACCGATGCAAGCGAAAATCAGAAAAAATGTTCAATAATTCAAGGGATGCCACTATTTGCCGCGCATACACCCCCGCCAAAAATATGCATGTGTACCCAAGTGTATGTACGTATTAATACACATGCAGTCACACACATGCATTGATTTGTGTGTAGGTATAATGGGCGAAAGAGGATGTGCAAGAACTTTTCTAAATATGTAACCTATTAGATTACATACATACATACATATGTATATGTGTATTAATATGTATAATATATATATATATATATATATTTCTATGAAAATGACTAAATAGCGCTGTTTAATGCATTGATTAAACAGATGTGCAAATGTGAGTCTGTAAAAAGCTTATCCAATAAAACCCCATTAATATTATTCAAGCAATTCCAAACGTATGAAATACGCGCGAGAATAACAAAACTAAGACGCAATTAGTTGACACTAGCTACATGGCATCATTAAGAACAAGCTCATGTGTTGAATACAAACAAATACAGATTGTGTGCAACACCCGAATTGCAGGTGTGTGGGTGCCTGCCCATGATGTATGAATGTATGTGTCTATATATAATTACCCACTGGCAATGCTGATATTAGCCGTAGTATTGTTGTAATGTCATTGGCCCAACAGGCCCAGAGTGATGCATCTACAACGAGTACGGCTAGTCGATAGACAGTCTCCGAGTTAGATATTGTTATCGATCGTTTGTGTGTCGATTAGATTTTTGCCGTTTTGGAAGCTTTGCTTGTGATGCCGTTTCTGTCGTTTTGGCGTTTACAGACACAGTGAGTTTTTCCTTCTGTTTTCAACGTCAATAAAGCTTACTGAAAAGCACAGCACGGCACAGGTCATTTGCGGTAAACGTGCGTCAATCAGTTGCAATGTGCATTCAAACATGCTGTCTCGCATCCGCACATACACGCACACAAACACACACGCACACATGAATGCAAATTGTTTATGGCGCGCATTTTAACAGAAGGTTGGGGTAGGGTTAAAGCTTTTGCTTAACAGTTGTTTCTCGCATTAACACTTATGACATGCGTTAACATATCTGTCCATTTATTCAGACATCTATCTATGTACATATGTTAAAGATGCTTGTTTAGTTTTTAAATTGGGTCGTTTAATTTCACAACACTAGCTTTTTATACACGCACACACACTAAATCAAATATATGTGTACATATTTTTGCTGCTCTTGGGGCTAGACGAGCTATGCTTATGTTTGACGCTGCTATTGGGAAATACAAAATGAAACGGAAATAATACATGTGCTCACAGTTACATATGTACATATGTATATAGATGAATTGTACATCGAATGGCATGGAAATTACTTTGAGCTAGAACTTTTGCATTTACTGCATATGTATAACAGTGAAATGCATACCGTTACATAACTGACCAAATATAGCTGTTATACATTGATGTGTTATTCATTTGGCATTTACATATATGCATATTTATTACACCCTATCATGGGGTTACATAAACCCATTGACTGTGCAATTAGCATTTCGCAAGTCTATTTAATTGTGTGCAGCAGCTTATTCGCTTTTTATTTATTTTCCTCATTTCTATTCAAATTGATGGCAATGTAAAACCGAAAAGCAAAACAAAACAAACACATCAAATGCTGCATTCAATTGAGCAGCAGTTGAATGTATGTAAATGCGTTGCCCTCGCTTCCTCCGGCAGGCAGTCTTATTACAATTCGAAATTAAATTTCAATAGGCGCGCACTCAGAAGCTACGAGAACCAAGTGCATGCCAAGAGAGGAGACAACAACTACAAACTGCCAATAGATACTTAAAAGAGCACCAACAACAACAACAACTGTAACAATGCAGCGGCGAGTAAGACGACGATGTCGTCGACTGCCGTGAATGCCGCGCCGGGTGCCAAGGCAAAATTAGTGCATTCACTTTTTGCTTTGGCTTTGGCAACGTACTTACACACACACAAACAAACACACACACGCACACATACATACATACATATGTATGTGCTTATGTAAATTGTAAATGCGAATAGCTAGGTGGAGAGCAACTGCGAAAGAAATACTATAAAATTAGATAAACATGTACATAGCAGAAATGCCAAACAACAAACACTGTGCTTTGAGGCTGGGCAAAGAAGAAGAAATAATCCAAATAAGAGAATTGGAAGATTAAAATAAAACATTTTAAATATATATATATGAGTGTAACATTGTTCAAGATTGTCTGCATTATTTTGCGCATATTATCGAACCCTACAGAATGTGTTAGACGGAATCGCGGGTTTTGACTTGCGACGTCCATTAAAATGATGACTGACTAAGAGTCAGAAGAACAGGTTTTTTTTTTCTCTTTAAGTTAAATGCACTCGTAACAAGGTATTTGAAGGGAATGGTGGAGGGGGGGAGGGGGGTTGTGATTGGTTTAGATGGCAAAAGGTCCCCGCCCCACTGTGCTTGCGGCGCACGCATACAAGTGTAAACAATGCAGGCTCATAACGTATCACTTTGGTCTGCTTTGGCAGCTTTGATGTGTGCGGCATTTTTTGTTGGCTCTCTATTAACGAGTTGACGAGTTGTTAGCTACTCGCTTTAAGCTTATGCTCGCTGCACAAATGCATGCAGCCGCGCGAAGCACACGAAAAAAGTACATACCAAAAGTTTGTGACGCGCATGCGTTTGGTTTTTATTGTTGTTTGAATTACATAAGCCTTAAATTGACATCTGGCAACGCTGTCCGATAGATTAGCAAAAGCAGCTACTTATCGATTACCCGATTGTTGAAATTTGAACTTTGTTTATGTATTGAACTGCGAGCGGATTTAATAACTAAAAAAAAAAATCAAACGTAGTTTTATTTGCATTTGTATTAAAATTGTTTTCTCTGTTATTTATTTGCAGCAAATGGAACATACAACGAAAGATCGTTTGATGAGTTAAATTTTAAGCAGTTTCGTTGTGCTGGACAACAACAACAACAACAAAAACAAAAACAAGAAGAACAAAAAACAAAACAAAACAACGACACACCGAGAACAAGAACAACGAGTGTTAGAATACAACTGCAATAGGAAGAGTAACAGTAGGCGCGCCAATAGGAAGCGTCGACTCAGCAGAGAAGAGAAGTAGAAGGAACAATACGCACCGTTATGTTTGTAATGGCTAACAATGTAATGTGGCACAGTGTTGGAAATCGTTTTTGCAATTTGAATGCGCGCCGCCTACAATTAGCAGCCGCCAGCAGCGGTCAGGCAAACGCCGCCGAAAAGAGCATTTCTGGTTATGCATTAGGCCCCCAAAGGTTTGGGGGCACCATCACCAATAGAAGCAGCAGCAACTGGGACAGCAGCGTAACGCGGCCAAAGTCACAAGATCAAGAACTACAAAAACAACAACAGCAACAACAACAACAACAAAAGCAACAGCAACAACAGCGGCGGCCGCAGAGGCAAAAGCTTCTAGTGAAAAAGATGTCTAGTGAAGTAGTGTTGTGAAATGCCAAAAGTTAAAAAGCAGCAACAGAAGCAGCAACATAAGAAGCAAAAGAGCAACAAAAACTTAGCACCAGTAAAAAGCATCCCCCGCCCCCGCTCCCGTCTAAAGCATAAAAATTTAGTTTTAAAACAATATACCGCATATATAATAAAAATATACAAATATTACAAATATTATTTGGTGAGCAATAAAATTTGTAAAAATGCCCATGTCCACGCACGACACGGTCTTTGTGGAACCTGTCGTCAGCAGCGGCAGCAACAGCAACAGCAGCAGCAACAGCAACAGCATCAGCAGCAGAATTGGCATCAGTGGGCCACAACAGCATACGCCGCACATTGTCATCGATGGGAGCAGCCTCACAACGCAGGCGCAGCTGAAGCGCACGATGCAGCGGCGCATGTCCATTCAAGCGCAGCCCGCTCAAAAGTACGCGGTGCGTACGACAGCCACGCAACAGCAGCATATGGCACACCACCAGCAGCAGCAGCAGCAGCAGCATGAACTGCTTAATCCGCAAATCTACAAGATTGTCACTACCGATGGCAGCACTAGCAATGTCATCATCGATACCTCCGCCGCGGCGCCGCCACATAACTCCAAGCTATTGCTTAGTAATCTCACGGTGCTGTCCAAGCAGGCGCCATCCATGTCCTCCCAGCAGCAGCAGCAGCAGCAGCTTAACTATGTCAACGCCAAGAATTTGCCCTATGTGACAGCCACGCCCGCAATTAAGCAGCAGCAGCAGCAACAGCAAAAGTTTGGCACTGTCAGCGCCTACAAAACCGTGGCTGCTGGCGCCAATACAAAACAATTGCAGGGCTATGCGCAGGCAACGCAGCAGGCAACAACAACAACAACAACGCCGCTTATGCAAAAGGTGACGTTGGGCTCCCGTGTTGTAACGCGTCTGCAATCGTATGTGCCGCCGCAGCAGCAACAGCATCAGCCGCAGATAATTGTGCAGCCAGCAGCAGCAGCAGCGTCGCAGCAGAAATATGTGAATGCTGTGGCTAATCGGCCGGCGATAACGACAGCAGCGGGCGGCGCAGCTGCGGCGCTGCTCAAGAAGGCTAATCAAAAGATAACTGTTAAAAGTGTTGGCAATATGTTGCAGCAACATCACCCACAACAACAACAACAGCAGCAGCAACAACAACAACAACAACAGCAGCAGCAGTTTAAAGCTTTTATCTCGTCACAGCAGGCAACACACAAAGCAGGAGTCAAAACCAAATTTGTCAAGCAATACAACAGCATTGGCAGCGCAGCTACCGGACTGTCCATTGCTGCCGTCCCTCAGCAACAGCAGCAGCAGCAGCAGCAGAATGTCTACGCCAAACAGCAGCAGCAGCAGCAGCAGCAGCAGCAGCAGCAGCTGACGCCCAACAAGCTTGGCAAACTGACTGCTGGCAGCAACACAAAGTATGTCTTGCAACAGCAGCCGCTTCAACAGTTGGCCGCCAATTTGCCGCAGGGCACACAGCTGCAGCAGAAGACAACATCGGCCACGGGCGGCTACATGCTGCAGCAGTCCACACCGGGCGCCATTAAGTTTGTCAATTCGCACGGCACCGTCATACAGCAGCATCAGCCGCAGGGTCAGCCCAAGCGTATCCACTACAACAGCAGCAGCAGCAGCGACAGCAGCAGCACTGATCATCAGCAACAGCAGCAGCATCACCATCAATCGTCGCTGATCACCGATGATGTGATGATTGTGAATGGCACGCAGATGACAGACGAGTTGTCGGCACGCATTTTGCAGAGCATGGCCCAAAAATCCTTTAGTCAGCAGCAGCAGCGCTATCAGCAGCAGACAACACCAACAACACCAACAACAGCGGCAACAAATACAAGCATGCCGCCGCCGCAGCCAACAACAACGCCCACGCAAATTATATACGGCAGCAGCAACAGCAACAATAATAACAACAACAACAACAATAATAATAATAACAGCAGCAGCAGCAGCGGCAGCAGCGCAGTGACAGCATCGTCGGGTAATCTACTTCTGACCCACTATCAGGCGACAACAGCCATGTCGCCCAGCTCGTCAGCAGCAACATTGACACCAGCTTCATCGCCATCGCCATCAGCAACAGCCGCATCATCCGCAACATATCTCACGGTAACCTCCTGCAGTACACCGTCGGTGAGCATCTCCTCGCATGGCTTTGCCAGCGGCAGTGCCGCAATGTCCTCGTACATGTCGGCAACGGCGGCGCGTCGCCAATCGGTCAGTGCGCCAAGCAGTCGGGCCACATCGCTGGAGCGCAAACAACAACACCTGCAACACGAGGCTCTCACGGCAGCAACCATCCGCAAACCGCCACCCAATGTGGTCGAGTATTATAAGCACAGGTGAATAATTAGTTGTGCCAAAGCAACATACTCTTTTTCACAAAGACATAGTTCATTTGCAATGAATTACTGAATTACTTCAAGTGTTCTGAATCACAGATGTTATGAATGAATATGATAAATATAGTTTAGGAACAGTCGTAAAATCCATTCGAAATATTTAATTGTGATAGCTAGGGAATATATCAAAAAGAGATATCTTTATACGAAATGTATTTTCTGAAGCTCTAGTAGTTTTTTTTTTTTTTTATATCGACGCGTTTATAAGAATCGAAAATAAATTATAAATATTGTAATCAAAGTCAGATTTGCAGTTCTTGAAGAGTCGAAATTGTCAGCACATTTGCTGTCAAATTGTAAATAGAGTATTGCAAACGAGTTTCTGATTCCGAACTGAAGCATAAAATTGAAAAATATTTCCAATTCAAGTAATTAGTCAAGGTGCGCATTTATAATACAATTTTGATCTAGTTTGTTTGCCATTTGACAGTTGTGTTGAATATGAAAATAGAAATTGTCTCAAGCTAGACAAAAGTTTTTGTTGTTAGCGAAGAAAATTTCGATACGGAAAAGTTCAACTGAATTCCGAGCAGCATGCAGCTGCTGTGTTACCCCCACCTACTGTATACAGATTCATCTCGAGCTATCGATATCGAGCTCTGTTTACTTCTGTGCCGGCATCGGAACGGAAAGGTTTTTGTTAAAAAAAAAGAAAAACTCATCGTGTCTTGTAATATTGTCAACGCGCACGCACAACTAACAAATATTTATATATTTATTTTCTTGCATCGCCTCGGCAGCCTGAGCCACAGCAGCAGCAGCAGCAGCAGCATTAACAATCTGACCGGCAGTCTGCGCACCAATTCCAATACGAGTCTGCACACGGCGCCACATTTGCCGCCAGTGCACGTGGAGGCAACGTCGCTGATGTTGAAGACCCAGCCGCAACAACAGCAGCAGCAACAACCACATTCGCAGCAGCCGCAGTTGAACGCAAACGAGGAGGAGCTGTACATTGAGGAGGTGCGACCAGTGCCTGTGCACACACAGGATTTGCGTTTGCAGCAACTGCATGCTATAATGCAGGATCACACGTACGCCTCCCAGCAACAGCAGCAGCAGCAGCAACAACAACAGCAGCAGCAGCAGCAGGCAGCAAGTGGAACTGGATCCACATCCGCGCAGCAACAGCAGCCACAGCAATGGTCCCTTGGCGGCATTGGCGTAACGGTGGCAGGCGCAGCACCAGCTCCAGGCAGCTATAGCAGCTACTTTGGGCAGCAGCGTAAGTTGTACTAAATGTGAATTCTGCTCTTGGTCAAGCGCTTAACTAAACTCATTGGTATTTTATCTGCACAGTTGGACGTCATGTGCCCGATGATGATGCTCACTCGGCTATAAGCGGCAGCTCTCGTCTGGCCGGTGCCGACATCGATCCCGGCGAGGAGACGGAAACGGCGCCCGAAGCGGAAGCTGAGGATGATTCAGTTACGCGCTGCATATGTGAACTAACCCACGATGATGGCTATATGATATGCTGCGACAAGTGCTCGTGAGTATTACAGAACTGGCCAAGCTGTGGCGTTAACTAATCCAGATTATTTGCTTCAACAGCGCCTGGCAGCACGTGGACTGCATGGGCATTGACCGTCTCAACATACCCGAAGAGTATCAGTGCGAGCTGTGCCAGCCGCGACCCGTCGACAAGGCCAGAGCACGTGCGCTACAGCGTCAAAAGCGACGGGAGCATATGCTGCTGGTGGCCACACAGGCGGCAAGTGGTGCGCCCACATCAGCAGTTGCCGCTGCAGCCGCCGCCGCCGCTTCAGCCGCGGCAGCAGCCAATTCACTGGGCGCCGGAGCAACAGCAGCGGCTGGTGGACTATTGTACAACAGCCAAGAGCTGCAGCAACACCAGCAGCAGCAACAGCAACAGCAGCGGCTGGGAGCCGGACCCAATGGCGGCTTTGGCACTGGCGCTGCTGTCGGCAGTCTAAATAAGAAATCGAAGAAAACCAAAGATGGCGCCGCCGCTACGCTCAAGAAGAGCAAGAAGAGCGGTGATAAACTGAATGCCAGTGGCGGCACGGCCGGCGGCGGCACAGCCAGCACCAAGTCGGCAAAGAAGAGCAGCAAGCGCAAGAGCAAATCCAATGGCGATGGCAGCGGCGGCGGCAGCAGTCCCGCCCTGACCGCCGCCGAGAAGCATGCGGCCAATTTGCGTCAATGGATCGAACACTATGAATACGCGGTCACAAATCATTATTCGCCGGAGCTGCGCGCCCGCCTGCACGCCATACAGAAGCAGCCAAGCCTGCTGCAGAGCATACAGAATACGGAGAATAAGGCGTTGCGTCTGATTGCCGGCGGCTGTGCCAGCGAACTGGAGAAGCGCGCCCAACTGATACCCTATGCGGGTGCCAAGGTGTTGATCAGCAGCATTGACCTGGCGCCGCATGCGCCCATTCATGAGCTACGCGGTAAATACATGCTGACCACACAGTTTCGCACACAGAATCCCACCGTGAACATGAATACGCCGCCGCCGAGCAACTATTTGAACAGTTTCAAGGTGCACAAGACGCCTGGACAGTTTGTGTTCTTCTATCAGCTGCCCGGCGTCGAGACGCCCATGCAAACGCATGCCCAGATGGCACAACAGCATCCGCCACCACCGCTGCCCGCCTACCTCAAGGGACCCGAGGTCTGTGTCGATACGCGCACCTATGGCAACGATGCGCGCTTCGTGCGCCGCTCCTGCCGTCCCAACGCCGAACTGCAGCATTATTTCGAGAAAGGCACATTGCATCTGTATATTGTGGCGCTGACGCACATCCGGGCACAGACCGAGATAACGGTACGGCATGAACCGCACGATTTGGCCGCCGTCGAACAGAAGAAATCCCATTCGGCGGTCATACAGCCGACGAGCACGCGCTGTGCCTGTGATCTGGGCAGCGATTGCCTGTTTGCCCTGCCGCTCGCTGTCCAACAGCAGCTGCAGGCGCCGCCCGCCCAGCCGCGCAGCAGTCATCGCAACAAGGCGGCTGCTGCTGCAGCGGCAGCGGCAACAGCTGCCAACAGCGCGGCAGCCATACAGCTTACCATGGGCCTGGGCAGCAGCACGGTGGCGGCAGCAGCAGCAGCGGCAGCGGCAACAGCACGCAATCGTTCCACCTCCTCGAGCGGCGAGAGCAGCAGCCATATGGGCCTTAACAGTCCGCAGTTGAGTCAGTTGAATTTGGGCTTTAAGCCCAGTTCGGCGGCCCTGGTGACGGCAACAGTTGGCACCGGAGTAACGGCGACGGCATCAGCGACAGCAGCTGCAACAGCTGCTGCTGCAATGCTCTGCAGTAGCAATAGTAATGGCGGCAACAGCAACAATTCGTGTTCCGTTTCTATGTCCAGTGTGCTGCATGATTCCGGAATCTGTACGTCCTCCTCGTCGCCATCGGTGTCCATTCCATCGCCCACACCGACGCAGTTACAGTCGCCTACATTGCAGCTACAGCATCAGCAACATCAGCAACAGCAGCAACAACAACAGACATCACTGCTACAGCGCAGTCCGACACAGCAACAGCAGCAAATACTCGCAGCGCTACCCACGCCCATGTTGCTATCTCCACAATTGATGCAAAAGCCGACACAGCAGCAACCTTCGCTGTTGCAGACACAACAGCAACAGGAACCGTTGGCGGTAATTGCAGCTGCAGCTGCGGCACAGCAGCCGATGACCACGTACTATCTACAGCCGCAGCAGCAGCAGCAGGTGAATGTGCAGCAGCAACAGCAACAAGCGCAGCAGCAGCAACAACAACAGCAGCAACTACAACAACAGCAACAAACACAGCAACAGCAGCAGCAGCAGCAGCAACAGCAACAACAGCAGCAGCTGCAACATTACGCACAGCAGCAGCAACAGTTGGCTGATGAGGCACGGATAGCGGTTAGTGCGCTACAAACGTTGCATGCTACGCCCACAGCACACATTGTTACCCCCATCAAGGTATCAGCAGCAGCAACGCAGTCGTTGAATCAAGTACAGCAGCAACAGTTGTCGCCACAGCAGCAACCGACACAGGCACAGCTATATCAGCCAGCAGTATCGCCCACTAAAACGCCTACGAAAGCGTCCTTACAACCCAACAACAACAATAACAACTGCAGCAGCAATAACAACAACAATAATAATAATGCAACGCCAGCGGCACGCAAAACGCCCGCAAAAGCGGCAACAGCAACACCAACAACAATCAGCAGCCCCTCGCAGGATGCCAAGGAGGAGGAGACCACGCCCGCATCAACAGCTAGCACACCGGCAACATCGACGCCCGCCACCAAAAAGGACAAACCAAAATCTCGCGAGGAACGCAAGCTGGAGGCCATATTGCGTGCCATTGACAAAATGGAGAAGCAGGAGGCGCGCGGCAAGAAGGCAGGCGGAGCAGCTGCCGGCGCGGACAGTCGCCAGTTGGGCGGCAAGCAGCGTGCCAGCAATTCGCCAGCATCGCCACGGAAACGCAATGCGAGCAGCAATTCCATAAGCGAGTCGGCCGACTCCAGCGCAATGAGCATGGGCACGCCCACTACCAGCAACAACAACAACAACAGCAAGGCAAAGCGCAATAAAAAGAAGCGCAAAGTAAGTCGCAGCTACAACAACAACAACAATAACAACAAGCGCAGAAAAAGCCTGAGCGAATCGGATGCTGAATCGCATACCGAGTCGGAGCTAGCTTCACCAGCCCTACAGCAGCATCATAACAACAGCAGCAACATCCTGCAGCAGCAGCAGCAGCAGCAACAGCAACAATCGACGGATCAAGATGCTGACTTGCTGCTGGCGCTGGCGCACAATAACTGCGAGCCCTTCAAGCCGCCGGCAGCAGCAACATCTGCTGTTAGCAGCGCCTGTTTGCTAATTGAGGCTGCGATGGGTCCACTGGAGCAACAGCCGCCGCCACAGCAGCAGCAGCAGCAGCAGATGCAATTGCTAGTGAATCCGTTGCAGTCACCTTCAGTTGGCGAGTTCAAGTATCCGCCCAGTGGTGCCAAGACCAAGAAAACGCTCATGTCCAGCTGGTTTCAATCGGAGCAATGCGAGCACCAGCAACAATCCGGCCTGGACAGCCTGGTGCAGGCGGCCATGAGCGAAATAAACGGCTCCAGGGAGCAACTGCAACAGCAACAGCAGGTGCAGCAAATTCCCCAACAGCAAATGCAATTGGATGCGCCAGCTCCAGCTCTTCTCAAGGTGGAACAGTTTATACATCAAGTGGAGGCCACAGAGCGCTCACAGATGCCTTCGGTGCAGAACAATTCGTCGGTTAAGAAGCGCTGGCTGCGACAGGCCATTAGCGAGGAGACTACCGATGAGATTCAGACCCAGGCGCTGGTTACGCCAACGCCCAGCATATCGCCGCAACAGCAGCAACAGACTTCGCCGCTGTTGTCCAATGGTTTTAGCACGCCGCTAAAGAAGCGACGTCTGGTGGTCATCAGCAACGGAGGCCTCGAGGCGACGGCAGCCGAGGAACCGCATATCGATGTCATTGGCAGTGCCGGCGAGGAGGAGCATAAGGTGGAGCAATTGGTGCCGAAAACTGAGCACTTGAAAGTCGAGACAGCGCAGCACTTTGAGCAGGATGACGATGTCGACATCTTGCGCTCGCCCAGTCCAGGCACACAGCAAATTGTGGCCGAGGACAATCTGGTCAAGATCGAGCCAGAGGACACGAGTGCCGCAGCGGAGGATGTCAAGATTGATGTGGAGCGTGAGGAGAGTCAGGCGTGCGATAAATTCGAGGAGCTGCTTAAGGTCAAGCGCGAGCAGGAGGAACAACAACAACAACAGCAGCAGGAGCAGCACCAGCAACAACAACAGGAGCAGAAACAACAGGAGCAACCCAAGGCAGAGACTTTGACAGAGGAGCAGCAACGGCTGGCAAAAATTGAGCCTAAGCTAGAGATTAAACCAGAGCCAGCGGCTCAAACGATTTCCAGCAAAGTCGCGCCAATTCCAGAGCCCAAGCCAGGTGAATCACTGTTGCGCACAGCGGCAGCAGCAGCAGCATCATCAGCAGCAGCAGCAGCAATACCAGCAGCAACAGCAACAACAACAATAACAACTGTAGCGCTTGTGGATTCTGTAAAGCCTGCTATCAAGGCGCGCATAACACCTGTGAAAGAAGAAGAGGAGCCGCTCAAAAAGAAGCCTAAACTGGAAGTGAACTCAACTCCAGCAGCAACAACAGCAGCAGCTACTAAAGCAATAGCAACACCCACGTTGGCAACACCCACGTTAGCGATTGAAACGCCTGCAGCAAGCACCAAAAATCTGACCGAACTGGATATACAAGAACGCTTGTTATCCTTCCATGCGGAGAATATATCCTACTTGCAATCGCGCAACAAGAAGGCAACCAGCAGCAGCAGCAACTCCTCCAGCAAGGGCAACAGCAGCAACGTTGCTGGCGTAGATCTGCCCGCCAAGAAGTCGAGCAAGGAGAAGGATGAGAAGCGCGAACGCGACAAGCAGCTGAAGAAGTCGAAAAAGGATAAAAAGAAGTCCAAGGAGAAGGACAAGCTGAAGGCAGCTGCCATCGCCGCTTTGGTGGCGGCGGCGCCGCCTGAGCCCAAAAAGAAGCAGCCCAAAGAGAGCAAACAGCAGCAGCAATTGTCAGCAATAGTTGCAGCTGCAACACCTGCAGCAGCAGTGGCAGCGGCGGCGACGACAATTACAGCAGCAACAGCCATAGCCAATGGTAAGACGAAGCACAACAGCAACATGCTCGAGCAACAGCAGCAACAATCGGCGCTGCGCCGTCGCACCATGTCTATGTGCATTACGCCTGCCACGCCCCCAACAGCTATAGTGCCCACATCAGCAATACTTGCCACAACGAAGAAGCGCCAAACCAACTTTGAGCAGGAGCTAACCAAACCCAACAGCCAAATACTCAGCAGCAGCTTATTGCTCAACAGCAGCAAAGCACCGCAGCAACATCTACTACAAGCAACAACAACAGCAGCAGTAGCAGCAGCAGTTGCCACGACCCCAACAGCACAGCAGCAGCATCGCAAGGAAAACAACCATCATCATCACCATCATCATCAGCAGCAGCAGCAGCAGGAGGCAGTTGGTTCAATGAGCCTGGCGGCGGCCATAGCCAGCGGCAAGTTGACGCCCATCAGTCGGCGGCGGGAGTCTATGTGCGGCAGTCGCCAGCAGGCGGCGCTCATAGCGGCAGCGATCAAAAAGGAGAAAAAGGAAAAGAAAAAGAGCAAGAAGAAGGATCGTGAGAAGAAGCAAAAGGACAAGGATAAAGACAAGGTGTCGACCAAGACCAAGGGTAACAATAAACAAAAAGTGCAACAGCAACAGCCACCAAACGCTATAAATGCAACAATGTCCAAGCCGGCACTCGTTAAGGCAGCTCTGACTAAGCCAATCATGCCCACTGTACAATCCGTACCCATATCAGCAGCCCCAATACCCGTGCTGATAACACAACCCACACTCGCAACACCAGCCGCCATGTCCATGCCCATGTCGATGTCGGTGCCCCTTGTGGTTGCCGGCAGCGCTTGCTCGGCGGCTAAGCAATTGCCGTTTTACAATACGATTTATGGCAAACTGCAAGAGCCACCCGTGTTGCCAGCAAGCGCTGCTTTGGTGTCCTCGCCGATGGCCAAAATCAGCAGCAGCAGCAGCATGCCCAGTTTGGCCGAGTATTTGGAGGCCACCAAAACGAAAGCGGCGGCGTCGGCGGCGGCAGTACCAGCTGTTGCTGTTGCATCACCCTCAACAGCTGCAGCAATTATCACGCCAGCAGCAGCTGCAGCCAACAGTATGGCTATTTCAGCGCTGGAGAGCATGCCACCGCCGGCAACAACACCGCTTAAGCTGTACACACGAACTGCCAGCCATGATCCGCGCCTGAATCCCATGCTGACAGTGCCAGAGCCGGCGCCAATGCCCAAGCGCAAGCTCTCCATTAGTGAGTATCGCATGCGGCATCGGCCCTCTGTGGATACGGCGCCGACAACACCCACGACGCCAACAACACCGCCAACGGAGCGTTGCTTTGCCAAGCCGCAGACCATCAACAAATGTTCGTTGCAGTCACCGGAACGCTTTCAGGCGATGCGTGAGCGTCGCAATTCCATAAGCGTTCATCAAAACCAGAACAGCAACAGCAACAATCATCACTACCAGCAGCAGCAGCAGCAGCAGTTGTCACAGCAGCAACAGCAGCAGCAGCAATCTTCGGCGGCCAAGAGCAACACAAAGAACTCTGTGGTTAACTCAGCGGCAGCAACGCTGAGCACGGTCAACAGCATCCTGAGTACCGCCCACAAGTTGCACATGTTCGACGACAAGCCCAAGGGTAAGCTCTTAAATCCTAAGTACAAATCGATAGCTTATTCATGGCATGCTCTTCTATCGCAGGTGGCCACTTCAATGCGGCGCCAACGTTGCTGGAGCAGCAGCAGGAGAAGATGAGCGAACGCTCACGTTGCCTGCAGCGCACCATTTCCTGTGATTCGCGTGTCATCGAGCGCCTGGGCGCCAGCACAACAGCTGCCGGTAGCATAGTGGATAAAGCAGCTGCAGCGGGCTCCAGGCGAGACGGTGCCTAGGTGCAAGGCCATAGGCTGAACAGCTGATGGGTAGGTGAAACATGAAACATATACAACATTATAACAGATAAATCACCATGCAAAATTCATAATAATGACAAAAATCTTTCGTCCACAGCAATCTCCAATTGTTGGAGTTAAAACCAGGATAAACCAAAAATGAAGCCCAGTTAAATACAATCGAAATCTGTATTGCTAACCAATTGCTGGCGTATCCACTGGATAATCTATATATATATATATATATAACATATGCCAAGCGCGCTTTTTCCTTATTTATGCAAATGTACAGAAAATCCCGGAAGAAACGCAACGGCAGTCACAAAAATTAAATCCTTATTATTTTTGTTTGTAAACGCTATAACTCGTTATAATTAATACTACTTGAATACATATATCTCTATATGTTTATATGTAATAGACAGCAGCAATGTAATTTTCAAGAAACAAAAAAAAAAAAACAAAAAACACAAAAAACGAAAAATAAGAAATACCTTCTGCTAAACTAACTAGTAGTTAAAGTCGTCGCGTTTTTTTTTTCTTTCTTTTCGTAACAGTCGAGCAACTTATGTAATTCTACTCCATAGATATATCTTTATATAGTAGTATATATAAATAGGTATAATCGCTATAAACGTATAAAATGCTTAGTAATACAGAAGAAACAAACTAATTGAAAGAAAAAAAAAAACAAATTTAGCAACTTGTTAACATTAAATTTCCTTTTGTTTTTAACTAATTTAAATGCATATATGTATTAATATACAAATCATATTTTACTATTATACATTTTTAGTTGCGTAAAGTTTCAAGAATTTTTACTTTAATTTATACTAATTGAAATATGCAAAAGAAAATACGAGTACACAATATATATAATTATTGATTTTTTTTTTTTTTTTTTTGCTCTATTCATTAACCTTAAATAGTTGTAAAGTTTATAAGAGAAGAGAAACAAATATGAACTACACCCCACATCTGATTAAAACGGAAATTGATAACAACATAACCAGGCTTAAAACGCAAGCAATACTATAAACCAAAATAAATGGAACTAAACTGTAAATATATAAATTTGCAAAAAACGTAAGAGCGAATCGCATATTGTTAAATATTTGTACATAAAATTCACAACAAATAACTTGTTTAATTGTTAGTTTTAACACAAAAAAAAAAAAAAAATGAAAAGAAAAAAAAAACGAAAAGAAAAGAAAAAACAAATGCTACTTTAGTGTGTAAGCTAAACATTGAAAAAAAGAGTACAAAACGCGAGTTAATTGAACGTAATTAAACTTAAGCAAATGCCTAAAAACAACAAATTTAAAATTTAAACAATGTATATAACAGGCTCTAAACTAGGCCGTCGCGTAATTAGCTTGTAAGCATCCATCCCTTTCCACCACTCCCAGCACAGATATTTCATATAAAACTTCAGAAACCCTTAAAAGAAAATATACTTTCTTATTTATGGATTGATTTATTATTTTCTCGTTTTTATAAACAATTTAACTCAAGGTTGTCTTCGAGAAATACCAGCAAAATAAGAAAGTCACCTAACCCTGTGAATATGTCGTAACTAATTTAATGTTTAAGAATTACAAATCCAAAATAATTAAAGAGATCCGCTACGTTTTTTAATGCTTACAAATTTCAAACAAATTTTTTTTTTATTTTTCTGCTTAACCAATTTTTGGATTCGCAGAATTTTTTCATATTATTTATTTTAAGCTGGTTCCAAATTGGCTCTTCTAATATGAAAATTTTATATTTTACTGATGTCGCATGGTTAAATTCATTCTGACAATATTTAATATATTTTCTCAACTTTCTGGGACTTCTTCAAGAATATTAATATTCTAAAAATCTAAAATGTTCTTCATAAAATTCGCTTCGAAAATTTTTGACTTCTCTTAAAATAAAGCAAAAATAATTTCCTTGAAGTATGGCCAGAACATTTTCTTTTTACTATTTCAAAGTACTTTTGCGATTTTCTTTTAAATATAAAAATATAAATTTTATAAACTATTTGTGAAAAGTTCAATAAAAAATTATTGAGTTTTAGATTGGAAGCCATCTTAAAACACATGATTTTTTAAACAGTTTTCTAATAGATTTAAATGTTTTAGGAGGTAGAAGGATAACAATTATATTATATTTACTTTATTAAGAATTTGTTGTTTTTTTCTTTGGGTTATTCTTTATGTACATAAAAAACAAACACAAGAACGATTTTTTTAAGAAGAAAGTGTAAAATACAAAATGCTAATTTAAGAAAACGATTTTATAAAACAAAAATATATATTGTTAATTTATTTAAGAACTGTATAATACTAAAATACATTTAGATACAATATACATTTAAAGAAAATGGAAGAAAAAGAAAAGGAAATTAGTTTTACAGAATTACACAAGAAATTACGTATAAATTATTTGAAGGAAAATCAATATAATCATTTTTACTGTAAATTAAGTATTTTGCATAAATTTTAAGTGCGAATTTTTGAATAATAAGAGTAGAGTTTTTAGCCTTAACATTTGGTTTAACTGATGTACATTAAATATGTTAATTATTTACTAAAAACAAAAACAAACAAAAAAAAAACACGCAAAACAAGCGCGAATGTTAGCATAACACTTCCGTCTGTAAAATACATTAAAAAAATTGGATTCGTAAGATTCTTTAACAATAAACAGAAAATCGAAAAACACAAATAAAACGAAAATAAAATTATAAAAATATGCTGTTATTTTTTTTTATAATGTAAAGTTGTTTTTATAAAAGGTACGTAATAGTTCCTTTATATATTTTTATATTGTAAACAATTCAAAAACATTTTGGATACTATATTTAAGGGCGGGGGTTAGCTTCGATCCGTGCATTACTCCCTTTCTTTTATGAACTGCCAGACCTTTCATTTAACATCTTTTCCTTTGTATTGAATTTAACGTTAATTGACTCGTATCAAGTTTTCATATTGCCAGAGAACATATATTACGCCATACGAATTGTATTTGGCCAAGCTCATATTTCTATAAGGCGAATAGCTGTTGCAGACGGAACGTAATATTAGCCCATTGTGTATAATTACCAGATAATGTTCAGTAGCAGATCAAAGTGCAGCGCACGGCTGGTCATTGTCATCTAAACTTATCGCTGCAGAGTAGTTGGGGTCAGAGAGAAAGCCAGAAAGACATAGATATAGTAGCTGTGGCATCGTAGGAGCCATATTATATTTAGAACTATATGTATATAGCTGTGTTGTGGCGCGATAAGAAGCATCAGACTTGGATTACAAAAGAGTATTGACATATGGTTTATTGCATTTTTCTTTTAAAGCCCTTTGGGGGCGTGACAGAATAAAAAGTACAAAATCAAATATAAGGGCTTAGGCTTTACATTTCCACATAGGTGGGCATGGTCATAACGCCGCAGTTGTTTTTGCGCGCAGACATCAAAATATAACCATCGTTGCCCCAGTAGGTGGACCAAGAGTTCTTCACCAGCCAGTAATCCTCGCCGTTGATTGTGCCGTAGCCAACGGCCAGCACGGCATGATCGAGACCATCGACATCGTTCTTGCACTCGGGCTCATAGTAGACACCATGCGAGTAGAAGCTAAAGGTCTTGGGCGAGGCATCAATGGCTACCGAGAGCGGGCCGTGCTTGAGTAGGGCCAACTTGAAGGCGTTCGGATCATTGGAGGTGACATTGACAAAGCCCTTAATGGGTGCGACTAGCGTAACATTGTTAACATGGCAGTAACCATCCTGGCCCAAGTAGGGGCCATACTGCTCCTCTGTTGGCACACCGCCCACTTGCATCACCCATTGATAGACGCGGAAGTCCTCGCCACCATCGCAGCCATTGTTGCCATAGCCCCAGGAGCAGTCGATCAACGCCTGCGTCGAAAGACGCACCAAATTGCCACCGTTCTTAAGGAAATACGCGCCCTCCAAATGCCCAATGGTGCCAAAGGACCAGCACGAGCCACAAACCGATTGATCTACGAACAGAAGATTATTGTTAAAGAAACAAAATGTCTTTTGGAAGCGAGCTCCACCCACCTTTCACGGGAGTGACAGCTCCAAAGAGGCGCCAATCATATTGCGGGGGTATTTCATCCTTGAGCTTGTTCACATCATAGGGGAAAGGCTTGCCCGTGTTGTAGGCGCCGGAAGACTTGTAACCCCGTCGAGCTTTCAGCTCCTCCTCAGTCTTGTCGGCCAAATGATTGACAGCCAGTTTGTAGGTTAGTTTGGCGCGATTCTTGGAGTGGATATAGCGTAAGTTCTGGCGGAAAATGTTCTTGCGATGCTCGTGCTCCTTCTCGTTGCGATAGTCGACGCCATGCTTGCGCTTAAAATGGTGAAATGCCTTGTCCACATGCTCATCGCTGCCGGAGATAAACTCTTGCATGGGATTAAAGGTGGCGAAATGTCCGGTGCCTGGGCCCGGGAAGCCAGTGCATGTGAGGCTCTCATCGATCTCAAAGACTTCATTGGGTATGTCATCATGCTCGTAACTATCGTAATCCAGATAATAATTATCATAATGGGAGCCAAGCAGCGTATTGTAGCCGCGCATCTCGTAGCGCACCGGAATTGGCATGCGACTCGACGGATAATGCGGTGATTTCTTGTAGCGCACCCACAGCGTATACACGTTCTTCTTCTGGCCAATGGTCTGCTCCAGGCGGAACTTGTCGCACGTATAACCCATGAACGTTTCGGTGCCTATCAGTTCAAAGGGTTTCGCATCGGGTAAAATGCTTTGGATTTCCACAGGCTGCTCGGCGGTGCCGTTCACTTGCAGACAGCTCAGCTTATTGAGCTCATCCCGTGTCGAGACGGGCGCCAGTTTAAGAGCTGTTCCATATTGACCCTCGCCGGCTAGCTGATATGTCTTGACCATGCCTCCGTAATAATCAATGCGGGAGCGTTTCGTGTTCTTGTCATACCAGGCGTAAAAGGGCTCCGCTATCTCTGCATAGGGTATATAAAGAGTTCCCTTCACTATGTAATTGGCATCCCAACGAGGCGGCTTTGTGCCATGAGCTGGAAAAGCAAACGGCACTTTAGCAAACTATAGCGGTTACCGGCAGCCATTGCAGAACATACACATATACACATACACAGCTCACGCCACGCTTTCAATAAACACAGGCACGCACACATACATGCATATACATGCATATATAAAAGCTGAACACATACCAAAAGAAAAAGCCGCTTAGACAAACTCACACTCATACTCACGCACAGAAATTTTAATTATTGCATTCATTTAATATTACTCACCTGCCAGTGCTAAGCATGCAAGCAGCGCTAAATTCAACCACAATCGCATTTTAAATCTGTTTTCTATTCTTGTGTTTACTATTGCACTTGCACTCTGTTTAAAAGTAAATGCGTTTACATTGAAAGTAGGGAGCCTATTGAACTGCTGCTATGGCGTATTAAACGACGAAAGCTCGCATGAGCAGAGAGAGAGAGAGAGACGGATTGCGCTGTTAAATACAACAGCTGTTAAGCGGTAGGCTGATCATGTTAACATATCTGCTAAAAGAGTGCATGACCAGCATTGGTTATCAGCACAGCGTGCGAGCGGGATAGCAGGCTCGGATAAGATAACCGCTGTGAAAGAGAAACTTGATCATAGTAACAGAGCTGCTAAAACAATGTGTGACCAGCTTGCGCAAATAAATAAAATACTTATTTTTGCTTAAATCTATTAAAAATGGCGCGTAATTTAAAATTGTAAGAACATTTGAATTTAATTAAAATTGCGCGCCCAGAGAACAGCTGTTAGATGCTGTTTTTATTATGTTACTCTCCGTTTCCTAGGCGCACTCTCAATGCTGGCCGTTTTGGTCTAAACCTTAAGGGGCTATCTGCCCAGGACCCGAACAGACGCTAAACAACCACCAAGCGAGCAGCACTGCTGTCAGCACAGTCTCGCCCGTCCGTGCAGTGTCAGTGTCCCCACAACACGAGTAAAAAGTGCACAGCTATATAAAAGAGTTCATACATACTAATACATGCGTACAGACCTATGTATGTAAACTGCCGTAGCCCCAAAAAGTGTGCTATAAATGATTTAGTGCGATTAGCCGACGTGCTAGACGTGAAAGTGTGCATTGTGAATAAAAGTACGTGCGACGTGCGATGGCATTAAGTATCCGTACAAGTGCGTGTAGCAAAAACAATAGCATTACGTTTTAATTGCATATTGTATTTGCGACGATGTCTTAAATGTGTGCATAAAATAAATTCAAAAGTTGTGAAAATTTTTGTGAAATTGTTGCGAATCTTAACAATCATAAGCAAAGTGTTTAGGCACCAGGCCGCAAATTTAAACTGAATTCTTTGTTAACGTCTTTGGTAAGCGAATGTTTGTTGTTGTTGTTGTTGTTTGTTCTACGTATAAAAAGTGTATACATATTTTATATACATACTGGCTTATATATCGGCCCGTTTGACCGTTTGTGCCCTTACCAAAGATGTTACGTTTCCGATGAAAATTTAATGGAGCCAATATATATTTAACGCTGTTTTCACATGAGATTTAATAACGAGTTGATCTGACCTAATAATTTTACATAAGCACAAGCCCAATTAACCGCTGGCCTATTCGAAATAAGATATTTATGTTTTCGAAAGACATTGAAGACATCATCTTAACTATTTTGTAGCTGTGCTTCTGCTGCGTTTATGCAACTAATTATGTAAAATTGGTTATTTAGTATTAATTGACAGTGTTACGTTTACGAATGTAACAAATGGGATTTGGTAAAGTTCTCTTTAGATTAATTGCATATACTCAATTGTAAAAGGTACTCATAAAAATGCTTTTAAGCCAGAATTCGTTTATGCCAGACTACAATATTATTTTCTACGAAAAAGCCTGCATTAAAAACTCCAGAAAAGGCCTTTGACGAGTGCACTTGAGGGAAACTATTTTACGTATGCAAGTATGTGTGTGTAAGAAGATGTTTCCCTGTGTGTAACCTACATTTGAAACGACAACTACGACACATAGATATGCACACACACACACATACATAACAAGTCAAATCCGTGACCGAAGTCCCAGTCGTTGTCGTAGGCGCTGCGTTACTGTAAGGAGGCGGGGGTCTAGCTGTGACGGCGGCACATGTAAATTTGCTTTTATCAGTGCCCAAAAACGCACACACACACACACACACCCACACACACAAATGCATGCATCGCAAAATCTTATGTACCGTTAACCAGCACTTCTCTCAGGGGCACGACGCGCACTCTCGCGAGAGTCGCCAAAAACGAAGCGAGTCGTTGCGTCTGCCGTTTCCGTTACAATTTCGCTCGCTCTCTCCAACGCACACACACACACACACACACGCATGCATATATATGGAGATATATATATGTAGCCAATTATACGTGTGTTATGGGCGCGCATTGTCCACTGGAGGCAAAACAGCGCCTGCCCCTGTCTACGCCCGCTTGCCCTGCACATGACTAATCTTGCCTTGCCCAACCTGCTTATTGTTGTGCCTGCTGCATTGAATTTCCGCTTTTCCACGCGGTTAGAATTTCCACCCAAAGTGTTTTGGAGTGCGGACTTTTTAATGGTTTGCAGAGACGCATTAAATGTCATTTTTGTTTGCAATTTATGGCGAACCTAATTACATATACACACCTATACGACTTAAATAATGATAATGTTTTGCGCATGAAAATCTTAATTATATTTGAAAGCGTATTTAACTTAAGAGATATGTATTTATAGGCATCTACTTGGATATGGGAAATATTAAATGTTGGCAAAAGGGTGAAAATGTGATCGTTGGGCTGGGCAAAGCCGGGTAATGCTAGCTAGCATATCATAAATCCCTTAACTTGGGAAAATAGTTATGCACATGCATAATTAAACTAAAGGTAGACATAAGTTAAACTTAATATATTTTATTATTCTGCCATACCTTAGGCCAATCTGCAGATCTTCTCTCTGGATTATTCGATTATTTGTAGAGTATTTGACCAAGGAAATTAGTTGGGCATAGCTGGTTCACTATTTAATTAAGCTGGGTTTCAATACAAATTGTCTACAAAAGTGTTTTTTCTTTCTATTGTTTTATACAACAATCTCTTCAGATTCTTGATAGAGAGGATACACACACAGCCCACTTGGCACACACACTAGGCTATTTTTATGCGGCACTTTCATTGTTTCGAGCACATTATCGCATTTTCCTCTTAAGGCATCAGTTACAGATATTAACATTTGCCGAGCGGGGCTGCAGGGGGACGGTTAGGCAGGGCATCAGCTAAAACGATGATTCAGATTGTTGCCGCACTCTGCCACACTAAGGGGGTGGTGGGTGGTGGGTGGCGGCGCCAACGTGTCTATGCGATTGTTTGTGCTGTCCTGGATCCTGCTTATAGAGGAGGGAGGGGTGGGTGGGTTAAAGGGGCTGTAGGTGGCACGGCTAACACTTGAATGCGATGTGGCTTTTATGTTTGCCGCAGCGCAGTGTGGATTTTCAGTTGGCATTGGCAATGTCAGGATGTTGGGCTTGAAGTCAAAACAATGGATCCATTCTTGTTGTTGTTGTTGTTGCCATTAAACAATTGCATTGCCTGACGTAGGTGGCTTTGGGGTATTATAATCACCCGTTGCTATTTATGAATGCCAGCACTCATGAGCCTGACAACTGTCGGCCCATCAAATCAGAGAGCATATACGTTCTCGATCCGTATCGATAGTCGTGTCTGTTTCTATACAAGCCAGGCTCTCAGCTCAGCTGAGCTAACTTTCAGCTGTTAAATAGCTCTAAATTCTCTAAAACATTTTCTTTATTGTTTCTAATATTTTACCAAAAGCCTTGATTTGTCCTAGATAATTAATCGATTTATATGCCTTGTTCCCTGTTCTTGTTAAGAGTTGTCTCTTTGTCCCATAGTCACATTCCTTTTCCATTAATGTCTTTTTCTTAATTCACTTTCAGCCGCCGTTTTCCTTAAGCTTTTCCTTTTGCTTTATTAATTAGATAGCTGTTGGACTTGGCGCATAAATCTCTTAAGACCCACTCAAAGCAACCCCTTTTTTGATTGCGTGACATCTGGTCATAGCCTCTGTCACCCCAGATGACGCTCGACTTGTTCTTGACCAGTCAGAAATCAGGGTCATGAGCAGCCCGCGCGTTTTCTGTTTGCTGCTGAAATGCCAAGCGAAGCGCAAGGATATGCTTGTTAACATCGCCTTTCTATGCGATTTTCAATAATTTAAGTAGTGCTAACAGACATCAATGTTGTGAGTGAGTGGACAAGTCTTCAAAGTGAACAAAATTAAACTTTAATTTGATTAATTTTTTTTTTTCAATGTGTATCCTCTTTTATAGTTAAAACAAAACCCACTTCATCTGTAAGTCCCACTTATAAAGAATACATAATTAAATTTGCAAAGATATATTTATACATTAATTAGTTTAGTGGATAAACGTGCCAGCTGGCGAAAGAGCAAAGATTGTGGCTTTTGAAATGCTACATTATGAGATTATATGAATATTTATATATATTGATTAGAGCAGTGGATAAGTTGGCCAGCTGGCGATATAGCAAAGATTACGGCTGTTGCGGGCCATGCGAAAATAGCCAGCTTCGCCCCAGTTGCCCCAGGAGTTCTTAAGCAGCCAGTAATCGTGGCCTCTGTCCCTGCCGTAGCCCACCAGCACAACGGCATGGAAGTATGTGGAACCAGAGCAAGGCTGGTTGTAGATTCCTGAATGGTAGTGCTGCAGATGCTTCGCATCGATGGTCCCGCAATTGGACCCTTCTCAGCGACGGCCGCTTGCAAGGCGCGCTCATCGCCAGATCTGACCGTGGCAACGCCTTTGATTCTGACACCGACATGCTCTCTACGGAAACGACAACGGCCCTGGACACCCTGATAGGGATACGAACTGCGCGTGTCTAAGCCTTGGTTATCCTTAACATATCTGAGTGCATCATACGGATAGCCCCTCTGGCAGCCGTGGTTTCTGTACGGCGGGTGAGAGGAGCAGTCCAGCAGATTCTGTTCGGACAACTCAACCATTCTTTTGGTCCTTAGAAAACTCTGACCCTCCAAAGTGCCAACTGCGGCAAAGGTCCAGCAGGAGCCGCATGTGCCCTGATTTTTGACGGGACTGACCGCGCCCTTGGTGCGCCAGTCTATGCTCTCCGGAATCTGAAGGTTCGCGGATGGCTCATAAATGTAATCCGCAGTCACAGCCGTCCTATTCAGGCTGCCCATCATCCTAGATACGAATTCAGAAGGCAGCAAATCCGTAAACTCGTTTACGCCCATCTTGTAGGTCTCCTTGCCGGCTTCGTAGCGTGCATTGTGCGTGTCAATCAGCTTCTTGTTGTCCTCGAAGATTCGCCTGCGCAGCAGCTCCTCGCTGTCGCCAGCATAGCTTCTCCCGTGCATCTCCTTAAAGGACTTCCACTCCGCTTCGAGCACGGCGTCAGATGCAATGCTCTGCACGCTGCCGATGAGCACAAGAACCACACAGACTGCATTCATGCTGGGATTTGCTGTGAGACCAACCCGAACTATTAGAATGCAGGCTTGGGGGTCAGCACACGCATTTATATACCCTTGACACTTAAAAGTGACTAAGACTTTCAATTTCTTATCGTCCCGCATGCCATATTCAAATTTGGGAATATTTATTTTTAGCAATACGAATTATGCGATAAATGAATTCGTCCCACAGTCATCAAATAATATGAGTGGACGTGAACAAATCGACTTTGGATATTAAGAATATATATATGTGCGACACGAACACGATTATCCTTGCTACTCACAATAGACTCAATATGCCCTACTATCCAGTGCGATGGCGCTGTGTTGTCCTCATGTATGTATGATGATCATAGAGCCAACTGTGCGATTTGGGGAAGCCAAAGTCCGCTTTGTCCTAGCTCTAAGCTCGCTCACATAATCCGCATACCAACGACGCTAGAACTGCTGTTTAGCAGCTGTGATCTGCTCGAAACGATCCAAGTTGGGGATGTTGCTTCATTTAGAAAGTATCCTGCAGTGAGAGCGCTAAAGTCGTTGGGATCAGATGATAGCGGTGACAGCGGGCGAGAGTTGAGTACTGCTTCTATCTCAACGACTGCGGTGTTCAGCTGCTCAAAGGTGAACTGCCAAAGTGTGGAGCCTTAGATGGAATGAAATGAAAGGTTATTTCTTCAGAGGAACGGCCTATGGGATTTTGCGGAACCAGAAGAGTCATTAATAGTAGTCGTAGTAGTAGAGGCTGAGAAATTTTAATTTGCTTTTCATATCCCTGTGTTCCTTAGCAATTGCAAATCTTCCGTGAAATAGTGCTGTTGGATGACCCATGATGCAGTGCAGCGCGTGGCGAAGTTCTTTTGGGGATGGCGAGGAACTTTCGACAGGGGAACCGGATTATATATGCCATAACTCGAAGCGCGCCAATGTATGAACTAATTCCGTTCAGCCAGTCCAAAATATAATTACTTTCAATAATTGTAGCAAATGTAAATTTCCGTTTTGCAGCATCGATAATGTCCATAATGTCCAAATCATTGTCGAATTGTTGGCAGGGCCTTTGAGTTTCGGGATCACGCAGAAACGCAGGTCCTGTAAGCCAAATTGATAGCTGGAGCTCATTAGCTGGACATCCACGTGACACGTTGTCAGCAGGGTTCAATTTAGACGGTACATGTCTCCACTTTCCATCTGCAAATGTCGATAATGTGCAAGACAATCTGCGAATCAGTGTCAGCTTTTTGACAGGAGCCAACCGGGATTTAGACTTCAGAAGCTGAACCTGAAGATTGCCATACGAGCCCGTGGAATGCACATAAACGCAACAGCCGTACGCACGCAAAAACGGGTTACGGAAATCGACGACAATTCCTTGAGAGAATTTACTCGCTTTCTCCATGCTTGAATGAACAGATTCATCCCAGGCGACTTTAAGCAGCCATAGCTCCTGTACGATGAACTTCGAGACGATTATGATTGATGCCAACAATTCTAATAGATCGAACAGAGAAGGTGCAGTCGAGAATACAATTGCTTGGGCTTAAACTCAAATAGTAGTACATCACGACGTTGATCTCAAGCTACGCCAGGTGCGCCAGTGACACCGTTTTCATCCAAGTTTAAATCCTTTAATGGGACACTTCCTCGGCGAAGTATCTCGGTGACCTTGTGAGCGAATTGAAGCAGCGGTGCTATGCAGTACATCATCCGTCCATTTTTCTGAGGATCTTCTAAATCAGTTTTAGTATGTACTCCCAAAATTTAGCTAATGTACATACGTCTCAAAAATATCCATGCGTAATTGTAGCTCGCCTTCTGACAATCTTTTTTCACTGCCATCGACCTCAGTAGACACTCTAATAACATCCTCGCTCGCCTACGTAAGTTTGCTTCAGGGGTTGACATTATGCATGGGGAATGTTGTGTTCACCGATGTGACCGAGCGACAGTTCTAAGACTCCAAAATGTTAACAGCCTAACTTTAACCTGATAACGAATGAGAGACAGTTCAACTGTTAACAGAACAACGAATGAGAGACAGTTCAACTGTTAACAGAACAACTAAGTCTTGCAAGCGTTGCGCTCACCATTTCGAGCTTACAGCGACGTATCAATTGCAGTCAACAAGCAGAGGCAGCGAACTTCCAGCGACCAAGCAACGGTAACAGCAAAGCAGGGGCAGCGAGTTTCCAGCGACGAAACAACGGCAGCGAGAATGCAGTTCTGAAGCAAAAGCAGAGAAATTGAAGGAATGGCAATTGTAACGGCTTCAGAATGACAATACAGTTAACCAAATGGAGATGCTGAAGAGTTCGAATAACCTTTTTCCAACGAAATGATATACCGCCAGTTTCCATAAATGTTAAATAAAGATTTAACAAATTGATGCGCAACACGACTGACTTCTAAGATGATGCTTACAGAACTGGCTACTTAACATAACTTAAGATTAAAGGGACCCAATTACAGAGTTCGAAAGAGAGCGAGACTTCGTACATGTGTATGAGTGCATATGGCATTCAAATAAAAGAGAGTTAACATAACCTTAACATAATCTTCTTTGGACATTGCTATTAATACCCTAACCAATACATATGAAGTATATGACCAAATAATTAGGTTCTTGTAAATTATAATTTTGTCGTGAAATGTATAACGCATAGCAGGAGACATCTCCAACCCCATAAAGTATATATATTCTAGATCAGCATTAACAGCCGAGTCAATATAGTCATATCCGACTAAAGCTATATTTATGAAACTTTGCAGAAGTCCCTTTTTCTGTTGCAAGCAGCACAAATGTCAGAGTCAGCTGGATCGGACCACTATATCATATAGCTGCCATAGGAACGATCGGTCGAAAATTTTCTTAATCAAGATATCTTGACCAAACTCGGAATCTAATAGTTTTATTATGCTGCTCATATATATGTAAAATCCTATAAACATCGGACCACTATATCGAATAGCTGCAATAGGAACGAGTTTTTGATTAAAAACCTTTTTTGTTTATCAAGAGATCTTGGCCAAGCTCGGCATTAGCTATTCTCCTAGTGCTTCTTAGATAGGGACAAATCACTATGAGCATTATCTTGCGTGTCGATGATAGCCCTTCTCTCTCGTTTAATAATGATAAATTAAAAAGTTAAAACTATTCAGAGTGCGATTAGACAATCTCCTCAGACATATGACTCTATATGTTAGTTTTACTAAGCACAAAAATTGTTAGGATCCTCGCACAAGTAGGCCAACTACTCAGTCTTCGGATTTGGGTTTTGGACATATTGTACCAGAAGCACGAATGTAACCAGTTTTGGCCAGACGCCTGGCAAGTGTTTTTGTTAGTCGCCTCTTACGACAAGCTGGGACATGCTGTGGAGGTATTCTAGTGCCCGCCAACCACACGGGTGTGCCACATATGCTTTTTGATATTATATATTATTTGTTAAATTAATCAAATAATTAATTTGTTAATTTAATTGATTTAATTGATAAACTTGTCCCAGAAAAACAATTATAAGGTGTGTTGAAATAATAAGCGAATTGGTTTCACAGCACTGTGTCGTGAAGTTCGTTTCACAACACTGTGCTGTGAATAACGATTGAATAATGTTTAAACAACACTGCAATTAATAATATAAAAACTACAGTAACCAAGTAGTTTTATAGAGCAAAGAGAAAGGATAAGATTAAAATGTGATTTTAACACTTTAGCCTTGGTACTGGAATGCTTCTATTGTTTAGTCTCCCTCGTCGTGGAGCATCAGAATAAACAAGTTGTTGCGCTCAATAATCGAAATAATAAATATTAAAAGTCGAATATAAAAAGTAAAACTAAAAGTTTTTTTTATTCAATTGTGTGCAAAATTAGGCTAATATTCCAATAGTTTTCAATGTGGCATATAGATTTTATTTTCAAATAAAAACCGACTGGATCTGTGAATCTCATTTACAAAAACGTGTTTGCCAAATTAAATTGCAAAAATATGTTTATTCATCGATTAGAACAGCGGATAAACGGCATCGTTGGCGATATAGCAAAGATTACGGCTGTTGCGGGCCATGCGAAAATAGCCAGCTTCGCCCCAGTTGCCCCAGGAGTTCTTAAGCAGCCAGTAATCGTGGCCTCTGTCCCTGCCGTAGCCCACCAGCACAACGGCATGTAGGAATGCGGGACCGAAGCAGGGCCTATTATAAATTCCAGAATGGTAGTGCTGCAGATGCTGCACATCGATGCCCACAGCAATTGGTCCCTTCTCGGCGACGGCCGCTTGCAAAGCGCGCTCATCGCCAGACCTGACTGTGGCAACGCCTTTGATTCTGACTCCGACATGCTCCTTACGGAACCGACAACGGCCCTGGACACCCTGATAGGGATACGAACTGCGCGTGTCTAAGCCTTGGTTATCCTTAACATATCTGAGTGCATCATACGGATAGCCCCTCTGGCAGCCGTGGTTTCTGTACGGCGGGTGAGAGGAGCAGTCCAGCAGATTCTGTTCGGACAACTCAACCATTCTTTTGGTCCTTAGAAAACTCTGACCCTCCAAAGTGCCAACTGCGGCAAAGGTCCAGCAGGAGCCGCATGTGCCCTGATTTTTGACGGGACTGACCGCGCCCTTGGTGCGCCAGTCTATGCTCTCCGGAATCTGAAGGTTCGCGGATGGCTCATAAATGTAATCCGCAGTCACAGCCGTCCTATTCAGGCTGCCCATCATCCTAGATACGAATTCAGAAGGCAGCAAATCCGTAAACTCGTTTACGCCCATCTTGTAGGTCTCCTTGCCGGCTTCGTAGCGTGCATTGTGCGTGTCAATCAGCTTCTTGTTGTCCTCGAAGATTCGCCTGCGCAGCAGCTCCTCGCTGTCGCCAGCATAGCTTCTCCCGTGCATCTCCTTAAAGGACTTCCACTCCGCTTCGAGCACGGCGTCAGATGCAATGCTCTGCACGCTGCCGATGAGCACAAGAACCACACAGACTGCATTCATGCTGGGATTTGCTGTGAGACCAACCCGAACTATTAGAATGCAGGCTTGGGGGTCAGCACACGCATTTATATACCCTTGACACTTAAAAGTGACTAAGACTTTCGATTTCTTATCGTCCCGCATGCAATATTCAAATTTGGGAATATTTATTTTTAGCAATACGAATTATGCGACAAATAAATTCGTGGACGTGAACAAATCGACTTTGGATATTAAGAATATATAATATATATATTTCCATATTCAAGAACGATTGCAATTCATATAATTTTATTCTTCTTTTTTGTATATTTAAATGATTAATATTTTTGCTTTTACGAAAAGCATAAATGCTACAAATCATATATGTAGTTGAAACGCAAGCAAGTTATGATTTATTGATAAATTTGATATATTTATTATGTTGACCTTTTCTATTGTACAACTGTAGTTGGATAAATGGGCCAGCAAAAAGACGAAAGCAACACGATAAAATTCGTGTAATAAATCTCTAAGTTGCATGAAATTAAAGCCGAAAAAGAACAAGAATATAAAAATAGTGCATGCAACGCATTTTTGGGTCATATGTACGGTCTCGTGCTGCGGGAGGTAGTGCCAAAAGTAATAATAATAACAAAAACGATGATGATAATGCTGATGATGAAGATGATGATGATGATGATGACCGCAACACGAACAATTTTGCCGTGAGAGCAAATTATATAAAATTATCATGCAGCGCAGGCAGCGGCCAAGTTGGCCACTCAACGGCAACAAAAACAACAATAACAACAACGAGAAGAACAACAACAACATTTACCAGCAGGAGGCTAAACTTGAACTGCAACAGAGGTGCTGCGTGCGGACTGCATGACGTATACGTAATATACGTATTACGTATACGTAATATGCGCTAGCTGTGGCCATTTGCCAAGCAAACAAACAACTCAACTCAACTCAACTCGGCGACAACTGCGACAAGAAGAAAACAAATAGAGCGCACACACTGTGCACGAGATATACCCTTTAGCATTTGTAAATGACAAAAGTTGTGAAAAACTTGAAAAAGTGTTGAGGCAGGTGCCACAAGATGACAGAATGGCGAAGTTAACATTGCACCGTCTACTGCAGCGTTTGCATCTGACGGCGCTGCAGCTGGCCAGTGAGACGCCCACATCAATGCGAGAGCAGCAACTCAATGACAACAACAACAACAACAACAACAACAACTACAACAACGACGACAACAACAACAACACAAACAACAACAACAACAACAAAAACAACAACAACAATAGAACACGCATGGCTCTGTTAGGCTGGCTGCAATTGTGCCATAGCAATGGACACTACCTGACGCTGGCCGTGCTCATCTATGGTTACCTAATGCTGCACGCCTCTGCCGCCGCCTCTGCCAGCTCGACGACGAGGACAACGACAACAGCCATGCTGGCCGTGTCGAATCTGACAACAAGCACATTAGGTTTAAGCCAAGAGGAAAACGCACAGAAACCAAAACGCGATGTTGCCCATGTGCCTGACGATGACTACGATGCCAGTTATCCAGATGATATAGACGACCTTGAGGCCTTGATTAACAATAAGTCAGGTGAGTTGAGCACAACCTTAGCTAACATATTGCAGGTGGGTGAATAATAGTTCTGATTTGCTGTCTTTTGTCGCCTGTCGCGTTGTAATTCCCAACTAGTGTAAGTTTCAAAGAAATGGACGACCTTGCGCATGCTAGCTTAAAAATTAGATGTGCTCTTTCGTTATAATAAAAAAATATACACATATATAGATTAGAAACTCGCTTCCATTGAATAAACACAAGTTGTATTTGCTGTTAGTATTGCAAGGCCACAAAATAGATGAGCTAGCAGCAGTTCGAGTGTTTCCATAGATGCCCTCCAAAATGGACCAAACGAAAATCTGCAGGTTGGCCCAAAATAAATTGAATAAGCCGCTGAATCATTGCGGCTGAGTGCAGCACAACGAATGCCATCGAAATCTGGTAATGCGGTGCAGATACAGGCAGCTACCTTCGACCCTCCAACAACCCCACCCCAACCCCTCGGCACTTGCCATGTTGTTGCCGAAGGACCTCAACAAAGGCCAGGCAGTCGGCAGCTGTTGTGCAATTTATGAGAATTATGATCTGTGGGGAATTAACTCGCCGACTCGGCTTTGGCTATGTGTGCAGACCGCAAACCTGGCCAAAAACCAAAATATTTGGCAATGCAAACTGTTCGAAAGGTCAAGGAAAGGTCAGCACAATGTCATAAATATAGTTAACCCTTTTGCGGATGCAAATGCTAATAAAGTGATAGCCAACAATATAATTGGACTTAATGTTATTGTTCTTATGTGTAAATCGAAATTAAAGCTGCTATAATTATAATTAATATTTTAATTTTTTGCTCCAAATGAGTGAAAGGAATTTTGATGCAGTCAGAGAAATACATTAACATAAATAATTAAATGTTCAGTCCTAATTACAGGGTATCTCTTAGCTATGCACACTTGACTAAAATTGGTAATTGTACAAACAAGCTTCAGTTCTTACATTTTCTATGTGAGTCAGTCAGGCAAGTAAAAAGAAAAGACGCCGGTTCGAATTAGTGCCTAGACTAAGGCGTAAGTAGTCAGCGTAATTTGAGCTTTAAGTAAATTATCTTTAGCTTTATGGTAAAAGAAAATAAATGTGATATATTTGTATGCATTAACACATTAAGCAAAGAAAAGACGCTGGTTCAAATCGCAGCGCTATTAAAGATTTAGTTTTATCATCTTTAGCTGCATTCTTATAGTTATTAGCTCACAATAAATGTACAAATAATTGAAATTGTTGAACATAAAAAGGATTTTTGATTGCAGCTAAAGGTAAATACATTGGAGCGCCCTGCAACGAGCTGAAATGTGATGCAAAGCTGTTGCATGTCACCTGCGATAAGGAGACGCAGCTGTGCAACTGCGAGCGGAACTATCCCGTGCAGCTGGGACTGATAAAGGGTTGCGCCAAACGTGAGAGAATTGCGATTTACAGATACAAATTATGTTGCTAATTTCTGTTAAATTTTAATTGCAATATTTAGCCAAGAAACTGGGCGATCAGTGTTTCTATGACGAGACCTGCATCTACAACGACGAGAACTCCCTCTGTGTTCAGGTGCGACACAATGCGATGTGTCAGTGCGCCAGCGGCTACCATTCGGTCAGCTATACGAAGCCAACGAGGCGCGTCTTCTGTACACCAGGTGAGCCGGGCAACATGAAACCCGATCGACAAGCCATTCATTTCATCATCTTGCAGATCTCAGCGAACTGGGCTCGGATTTGCCCACTCTGCTGGGCGTTTCTACGGGCATTGCGGTGCTGGCGGGTCTCATCTGCATGGTGCTGCATCTGTTCAGCAAGACGAAATATCCGAGGCATCGCAATTTCGCGGATGCCAACATACCGCCGCCCATACTCTACTCGAGCGATACAGGTGAGTGGAGGGTGGAGGGTGGAGGGTGTCGGGTGGGAGCGGGAGCGTGTAGCGAGCTGCATAATTGATACGGGTTTTATTTTGGTTTTCATTCAGGCATACCGTTGACCGTGCACTCGGCACGTCCATCGTCGCGCTCCAGCATACGTTCGACGGGCTCGATAGGCTCCTTTGGGAATCGTCGCGCCTCGTCCGGCGGATTGGCCGGCGCCACTGGCGGGGGCGTCGGCAACAGCAGCGGTGGCGGTGGCGGTGGCGGCGGCGGCGGCGGTGGTGGCGGCGCTGGAAGCGGCTCGAAAGGCATACTTGTGTCGACGTCTCGTACAGGTGCGGCTAGATCGGCCGCCATATTGCTTATATCGTGTCACATAACGGCCGTGTCCAAACAAAATTCACGCGCCTCATCGCGTCACACATCTGGCGCCGGCTGCAGCCAGCATTCGCGCGACAATCTTGACGAGAACAACGGCTCCGGCAGCGCCGGCGGCTGTCGCAGTTGCGAGAGCACACTCTCAATGAACCGCCAGCTGCAGAAGCAATTGAATCATCAACGGCATCTGCTCAGTTTCGAGCTATCGCCGGCGAAGACAAAGAATCAGGATAGATTTAGGACCCTCTTGGGCATGAATGGCATTCATAATTATGATGATGACGATGCCAATAATGATGATGATGGGTTCAATAGCATAGATGCACTAGGTACCGGTGGAGGTGTCGGTGGAGGTGGCGGTGGAGTTGGTTTCGACTATGGCAGCGGCACTGGCGGTGTCGGTGCCGAGCTGCATCATTTGCAAATTGGCGCCCTGCCGACGCCGGCGAGTGAAACGCCAAGATTTGCGGTAAATCAACTCATCAGTCAGCAGTCATTCAGCGTCAATCATCAGCATCAATCACAAACAATCACAATTGGCCAACATCATATCATCATCTAGCAACTATATATATATATATTATGTTTATAAGTTATATATTGTTAGATTCCTGTTTTGGTTCCAGCTCTTCACATTAACTAACAAAAACACTTTCCACATTAAAAAAAAAAAAAAACAAAATAAATGACAATTTGCCCATTTGCTTATTTATTATGTGGACTCTCAAACTACTTGATAATACAAAATTTGAATATTATCTTTTTGAGTTCCCAATTACTTTCAATTACTTTGGAATCGGAAAGAATTGCAATGTAATTGCGAAGAATATTGAGGATAGATTGATACAGCTTCAAAATACTTTACAAAATATTACGTCCATTGATAAAATAATATTTATAATTTATACTAATAATTTATAACAATTTAATACATATTGCTTCAGATCTAAGTAGTTCGAGATCCGCAGCATAAATAATATTAATCGTAACACAATCAATTCATTGGCTCATTTTTATGTGTACATTGGCTCATTTTGTTAAATCATATCTCTTTTGCCGCATTTTCATAGATTAAAAAAACAAAAAAAAAAATTAAAACCCCCGTCGAAAATACTAATTCTTGGTCTTTCAACAACAAATCTTATGTTCTAAATGATCGATGTTTAATGTGCTTCCAAAACTCTGTTTCAAATTAAAAGTTGGTTGTTTCGTTTTTTTTTTGTTTATTTGCGTTACAAAAATTTAAAAAAAAAATATA